GAGAGGAGGAAAATCAATGCTTAAAGATAAGAAGAACATGTATGAGAAGGAACTTTTTCATCACATTGGTCACCAGTCTTCCTCTCTTGGCACATAATATGGTCAGCAGTCTTTCAAATTAGCACTCATTACCATTTCTCCTCCATGAATCACTATCAGCAATCTCCTTACTAATTGTCCTTCTCTCTGAAAGTGGTGGTCACAAGTTCTATTCCCCCTCTATTCTGTTTTTCTGGTATAAATTCGCTATTCTAAGCTTAGGAAAAACCAGCTACAGTTTATAAAGATCACGTTACGACATCGATTATTCTAAAGAAATACACAAACCTAGAAAGTTTGCCATCAAAGTTAAAGTTTTTTGGAAATTTGTGGCTGAGAACATTAATCCTCATGGCATACGAAAAAGAAACTGAAGTCCCAAGGAAGTATTCTTGGCCAGGAGAAAGCGTGATGAGAGAGGATCCTGTCCATTTAATCAATGGGCTTTTTGAGGTGGACAAAAAACTGAAGAAACTTGTCATAAAGCTCGGAGCGAATACGTGTGCCAAGTGGCTAATCTTTGGTACGTGTGCTGTTATTTTGAATCTCACTGTTCCTTTTATCACTGATCTCCATGCAATCTATTTCAACATTCAAAGAGCTATAAAAACGAACCCAGAAAGGTAGTCTTCGTAATAATCATGGCAGAAGTTTCTTTAGTGAGCGTTATGGTTCTTGGAACGTAAGTTGAATTTAGGGACGTCATTCACGAGCAAAGTTGTGAAACCCGAGTTGGATTTTCACCCCTCAGGTTCTCAGAACACAACGAGTAATATTTTTTATAAACACTTATTAATGGTAGAGATAATAACCTTGTGGTTTCTAGAACATATTTCTCCTGCAACAATTAATTTCTAGATATAAAAAATTGATCGCACTATAAACTAGCTATTTGAACAGTTTGTATGATTAAATCGATTTAACAACACTTCCACCATCCCGACTGAGTTTTTTTCTGCAGAGTATTTACGCGTTAGCACAACAGGTCTAATATAACTTATGTTGCGCGAGATAAATCGCCAAAATAAACTACCGTCGTTTTGTGCGCGCTCCTCCCCGTAAATAAATCCGATATCTACTCCTGATATTTTCTCTGATTTTTCAGACAGATCGAGCATTTTAATCATGGTGGGAACTGCTATTTCCATATACACCTGATGCTTTTGAAAAATAGTGGACAGTTTTTCAAAGGCAGTGGCCAGTTCTGAAGGAATATAAAATAGGTTTGAAAAGCCTCGATAGCACATGTTTAAGCCACGCCCATTCCATAGCAAAGCATTTAATGAGTTTTCCACGTCCCACGAGCTTTCTTCTTGCCCTTTACTATCAATTATTGCACGCTTCTGCGCGTCATTCAGGAAAATAAGGTCTTTATAGGCCTCCTCACAAGCTTTTAGCCCCCATGGCGTGTACCACCAGATCCAGGAATCGCGCGGTTGCTCAAACATGACCTGGTAACCAAGCTGTTCAGAGCTTTCCCATATCCTAGATCTATTCAAATTTGAAATGCTCCAAAAATTTAAAAACAAATCACTTCTAATAAACAAATAACCCGTAAATTGAGGTTGTGTTCTGATTGCAGTGCTCAGACACTCGTAAGCTGTGACTCCGTGAAGCATAGATACCACGATCATCTTGTACTCTTGGTCTCCAGGTGGTTTTGTAGGTCCGCAATAAACTATATGTGGAAAACGATGTCTGTAAAGTCGCTCCAGTAACGGAATGGAATCATAGAAGATTTCCACAAAGACAATAACTAATAAGATATCTTCAAAATCCCCTTCTTTACAAGTTCTTTCACTGAAGTTTCCTCTGTGGTTGTTGATGATGGGCAGTTCGCGTTTTCGTTCCATCGAATTACTTTCCTCTTCGACGATTTCAAACCCTCGGCTGACGAAGAAGGACAAATAACCTATCAAAAGTATAGTTGTTACTTTTATTAAAGAGAATTTCGAATCAAACTCAGCATTAAAAGGACAAAAATATATTTTTAGTGGCACTAACGAAAGAAGAGATTAGTAAGGGCATATCGAGACAATTCTAAGCTCAAGCTAAATCTTGCTTAGCAAGAACATTCTACGTGATATAAAATAAGCGAACAGGAGTAATTTTACTCCCCCCTTACCAACTATTCTCCCTGGTTGGAGGTTTTTTTTTTCTTTTTTTTCCAGGGACACAACTCAACGACCCGTCCTGGGCTTGAACCCGGAAATCTCAACGACCCAATGTACTGTGCAATACCCTTAAAGCAATGATTCTTTTACAGTTAAGTTTTGTAATCTGAGTTGATAAGCAAAGGACAGCTTTGATATGTTTACTATTTCAATGACAGTGCTGATGGCTCTCGATCGAACTCGCGACTTCAGGCGCCACTTTGAGAAGTATGTTAATAAATTTGTTTTACGCTTCAATGAATGTTTAATAAGCGATCATCTCGACGCACGGGGTCTTCACGATTATCTTCCAAGCAAAATATGGATGTTTTTAGATCATGGAAAGTAAATACCCCTTAGCAAGAGGATCCTTTCGCCGTGCTTACCTCTTGACATGATGAACACAACGGAACAGAGAGAGAACGTTATTAGACCAAAAAAACAAAGACGATGGCAGAAGCGATAAGAGGCCATGGGCAATTCAACATCGCCCGCTTCCTCATGAAGCATTTGTTTTGAGATCCTGTACGAAGTCAATCAAAACGTTGAAGCAGAGTTTGCTTTCCATTTATCCTTTGTAAGCTAATTTCGTTTCCTTTGTGCAAGGAGCAACGTGAAAAAAACCGCTGAGGCCACTGCGCATGAGCGTATCATTTTTAAGCGGGTACCAGCTACACGCAATTTTTTATTTTCATTTGACCGACCATTACCATTTGTTTTGCTTGATATGAACATGGTTTATTTCAATTATTTCGCACAAATCCGTCGGTTTTCTTTTTGTCCCTTATGTTCCATTTTGAAGAAAACTTTCAACACAACAACCGAAACAATTCGTCAAAAATTTGCTTCTTTTTTGGGGGCATTACAAAAGAGTTCTAAGTTGTTGGTGGCAAATCAAAGCCGGTTTCCCTTAGTCATTCAGAGTCTAATTAAAGCACAGAGTGGTGGAGCCATTCACCGCTACTGCAACGCTTCTCCAATTAGTTAGGTACCAATAGATTATTTAAGTGTTGCTAAAGACAAACTCGTGGAAAACATTCCCACTAATTGTCTATTTATCACGGATCATTGACTGCCTAATCATACGGTCATCTCGCCTTAAAAAAACAATTCACAATTAGAAACTAAACACGGAGATTTAAATGACGTCTCAAGAATCATCCTCTGGAAGGTTTTCCTTTAAGTGGATAGCTGAAAATCGTAAAAACAAAGTTTTCTTAATTGAGAATAAACGCTGAAAGTTTGAGCCGAGAAGCTGCATTGGACAACATTCTCTCTATTTCCTAATTACCTGAATGCTCATCGATAAACTTTGAGACCACAATTGTTTATTTGGATTGTTTTGGGAAAAAAGTGAATTTTTCTTTTCTAAGAATTTGGACGTAATTTCCAAATCTAAGCTTGAAATTAGAGGTGAAAGTTTCCAATTTTGTAGACAGATAAATTATTTTCAAGTTCTATAGTTGAAAAGGGAAAGCTCAGTGTTGCAAGTGACGATGCGCGTTCAATTCTAACACGCAACCTGTTAATGCATATGACCTGCTTGATTCAAATATATCTCTTACGAAGTGCAATAAATATGAGGAAGCAATTTAAATTGTTCTTGAAACAAAACTCACTTTAAGATTTCAAAAACGTTTCCGCACGGACTCAGGAGAGCATTGAATTCTTGCCTCTACAATCAAATGTTCAATTAACGTTTTCATGGAGACAGAATCTTCTTGATGCGCAATGGTTTATCGGCAGCTAACCACTGTCATCTAAATTCTTAAAGTTGTCAACATTTTTAATTCATTCAGTAAATCCAGGGTCAGTAACTAAGCTCGTTATGTAAACTTTAAGACGGCTTTGATTTTAGTATGAATTTCACCCATCGTGACTCTTTTTTATATTGATTGGAATTCGTCACATGCACAAAAGTTTCTGAAAGAAGTTAGAATGATCCTAGTTTCTGACACGATATCTTGCTCCATAACACTGCTTAATAGTGCAACTGGTTAAAATACAAAATTAACTTCGTGTTCAGCTTTAAAACTTTGTGTTCAACCAAACTATCTATCGCAGAAAATAGCCATACACTGGGAAGGCAAAAAGTCGCTTGTGGTATTAACAACACTTCCGGCTGAAAGACGCACTATGCATTGAAGAAACGTCGGAGATTAACAGATCATCTTACGTCAAAAATCAATCGCGTTCTTTCCCAATCTTGATTGACGAAAAGTTCGATAAATTATCTCTAAAACAAGAGGGAATTTCGACAGTGATTTCATCCATGTAGAATAGACACTCAACCCACGCTGACATTGATCTCTGCTAGTGTTGTTCAATTTATTCTGACCTTATCACACTGAACACACGGGGCCTAGTCGCTGTTTACACATGTTACTGTCGGCCACCTGTAAGTTTACTCACTGGCTCGCCGCTCGACACCGTAACAACTGCTAAAAACGGGTCGAGCGCGGGATATTCAAGAACCGGCCAATAACAAGTATCATACCGGTAAATATCGAGATATCCGCATGTTAGCGGACCTCGAAGGGACGTCGGCAGGAAGCCGATTCAAAATCTTTTTTAAAAAATGTATACTGACTAAAATAAAAAAGGGTGAATGGCACCAACCGTGAGTAATTGAAATTTGAGAGTCGGTTAATCTGGGAGCATGACTCTAACCGTAAGACAGTCAATTTTATTACCTAACCGTACACCTGGTTGTGACGTAATTGCTAACTTATTCAATCCGCTTGGTCAGATGGACCGAAACTTCTCCAAACAGCTAGCGGTGTAACATCAACATTTTACCATCACTGTCGATTGTCACGAAAATTGTGGAGAGTTATCTTCATCACATACTACCACGGTTAGAATTAGAATTTTCGTTCAAGTTTTAGTAGACGTTTGCAAGCTTTAATCTGAACGCGCACTTCCAGGTTTATTTTGAAACGCCAGATTGCTCCTGCGCGTGCGCAAATCGTAAGGATATCAGTTACGCGTTGTTAATGGTGATACCTGATGGGGGTTTGTGAGTCTCAGAGACGCAAATGGAGACAGGGCTAATCGGTTGATAACGTCATTTGAGGCAAGGAGGGAGGGATTCCTCCTTAAGTTGCCTTAAAGCTCGATGAGCAGTGGAGTTGGTTTGAAGAGAAAGAACGCGTCCGAGTCTAGAGGATATGCCAAAATCCTTTCTTGTGAAAAAAGCCTCTCGCAACAAGAGGAAGTTAGCCGAGGATATACACCAGGGTAAGTACCTGTACTGTTATACCAACGCACCGGGATCAACTTGGTTTCTCAAGATTAAAGGTCAATCGTGTTTTTCAGCTAAGAAACTCTGAGCCTTTCCATTAAGAAGGCTTTTGCTTGTGCGATGTCATCATTTCTAGTGCAATTTTGTTCATTTTCATAACATTTTCTCCGAGTTATTTTAATTTTTCTGTTGAGGCGTCAGTCCGCGGTTCGCTGGGTCAGCGAAAGTCAGTCAGATTTAGTATTTCTGACTAATTGGTGGAAAGGAGTTAGATTCAATTGTTTTTCATATTGAATTAGTTTCTTACGCTAAAGAAAAAAAAAACTTTTTTTATCGTGATTTTTTCTTCGGAGCGCTCAAATTTCTTTGAGATTTTCCAAGCGCTGATTACTTCAGTGAGCGAGTATGCAAAAGTAGTGAAATCACTACCTGGCATCAATAATTCAACCTTGCGTTTAGTGTTCTAAAACTCTTTAAATCGAACTTCCTAGAATAGCTTTCTCGACTCATTTTGCAGAAAAAATTCTCTTTTGTTTGTCAGAAAATGAGGAGTTATCAGACATCGCTGAGGAAGCAGAGAAACAGACAAATCCGGGCTCATCAGCCACCGGTAAGTGTTGGTAAACTTTGTTGACATGACCACCTGTAAAGTCCTGAACTTCAAAATGGCAATTAGGGAAGATCTTCACGGTCCGAAAATCACAAGTAGTCCATACTAAACTTCCTAGCCTCTAGATTCGACGCGATTCCGGGCTGTAAACTTGTCTAAACTGGTTAAAACCGACCAAAATGCTAAAACCTGTTCAATAAAATTACTCTCGTCAGTAAAAAGAGGATTCTTTCCGAGGAGATTCCAGCGCAATATTGAGCTAGGTACACTTTGTTCACACTACTTAGAAGTAGATATGAAATGCGATAGGAGAGAGACTAAGTGCGAGGGAAAATCCAATTTTTCTTCACATGTCTTTCGAAACAGAACCATTAATTACGCAGCAACAAATTTTTAGATTTTTCTGTTATTGGGTTAGGTGATCAAAGTTACACTATCAAATGGCAAGACAATTGTTATTTTCTTTTTATCTTCACTATATGGGACAGATCGAATTAATTTAAATCACGAGAATGCTCAGATCAGGACCTTGAATTTTTTACAAATATTTCCTCTCTATTTTTTAACAAAAAATTTCAAAAATATCGGTGTAGCTCGGAAGTTAATTGTGTTATTCGATGCAGTGAAAATTAAGCCCGCATCACGTCATCACACGCTCAAACACTCCAAGAGGAAAAAATTGAGGTAAGGTAGGAAATGGTGTCATATGATAAATTCAGATTAATGCAAAAAACAAACAAAACAACATTCGTATGCGGTTTTCTATTTAAAAAGATCTTAAGTTATCTAATTTCACTGGAGATTTCCGGCTGTGACAAATAGATTCGACTTTTTCTGGTGGAGTTTTATCCAGAACCCTATAGAATTGATCCGGTTTAGCTTTTGAATCATCCACGGTTCTAAGTAACAGGTTTTCCTTGAGAAAAACAAATTTTTGAAGGAAAAATCAAAGGAGTTCAAATGAAATTTTGCGAGAGGTAGCTCTTTACTTGAACTTGCGATCAGCGTAAACGCACAGAACGTAAAACGTACAAAGTTATTAGGACCGTGTAGCTTCATCGTCGAAGATATTTCCATTTTGAAGATAAACCCCCCTCAAAAAATTTACTTTTCTTGGCTTTGAACACTGAGATAATTCACCGAGAGGACAGATCATGGAAGGGCAGAGCACTTGTAAGAGCTTTCTTTTGCTTTATTTCGATAAACTTTTTTTCAATAGAAGGGTAAGTTCCTAAAGAAACTGTGGTGCTGCGTCGGCGGGGAGCAATACAAGATTATTTGGTGTTATCATCTGAGTTGATGATGTAAACTGGCCACCGAAAAGAGTTTCCAAAGCAGAGTGAATGGAGAAATTATGGGTTGTGTAAGTGCATATTTTTTCTGTAGTTTCGTGTTCAAAACTTTAATTTTTTTTTCAGGCGATGTGGCCATCCAGTGCAATTTGGAAGCCAACGCGGACTCTTACATTCCCCGCACCAATAACGGGAGGAATCAGCCGGTGCCTTTTCCCGCGCTCGACACGCGCGGATTACACACGCTTGCTGAGCTGTGCTTACGACGGGCAGACTACGAGTTTTGTACCCAGAACGTTACTGTAGACCACAGGAAGATCAATGATGGCGACGTGCATGAAACTGAATTAAACGAAAGCGAGACTTTTAAGGAACCTCGTAAAGTGCATGACACGAAGTTTAAACGACGTGTAAGCGACAGTTTAACAAGTGTAAAAAGAGAACAGGTCAACGTTGAGGAAAATGAAACAGCCGAAGAAAAATGCGAGGATCTAAAGGAGAGAAAGAGTAAAGCCATGAGACGTTCGATAAATCCCGTGAATGAAAACAACTCAACAAGACTCCACAAACTTGAGGAGGAGCTGGAAAAAATGCTACAGTAAGTTTTGAAAAATTTTCTTTGATCTCACTCAATGTTATCTCCTCCTCCAGTAAACCGTTTTGATAAATGCCGCCAACCTCTTTGAGAAACGACTTTTAGATAAAAACAACACCAGTTTATCACAATTTTTATTAGCCTTGTAAAGAAAAAAATATTTTTTAGGGAATTGAACTATATTTTGTGAACAGAATACACAAAGGACCTGTCATTATTTATCTCCAGAGAGGGGTGGAGGATTTTGGTTGTGTCGCAATGGTATTAATCTGATTCCCCCTCAATAATAATTCTACTAGGTAATTGTCAAATTTGCCGAGCTCCTATCGATTAGCTCAGAGGTTAGCGCGCGGACGTCGGGTTAGGAAGCCTGGATTCGAGCTCTGAGAAGCCGCGTTGTCTATCGGCGCAAGACTCTGTACTGTAACAGTTAATTTTACATCTGGGAAAATGAATCGGCACCACAAAAAATTTGGGAAAAAGTAATCAATAAACAAGGGGGCAGTGGAGGGAGGTGACATAAGACGGACCAGCATCCTTTTCGAAGGAAAAGGCGTTTCTCTTTATCGTTCCAAAGCTAAAGATGGAAGCCGGACGAATCTCCGGCAGTAGTATTTTACTTCCTTAAGTTGATAATCAGTCCAATCAAAATTATCCACCAGAGGTATTCTACTTAACTAAGAGATATATGTCACATTTAGGGGCAAAGAAGAAATCATTGGACGAGAAATCAGAGATTTTATGGAAAACAACAAGGCTTTGGAAAAAGAACTGATTGAGGAGACTGGCGTGTCGCAGATAGAGATTACAAAATACCTGCAAGAAAGCGTCCATTTGAAAGAAGACAAACGAACAAAATTGTTCAGGTGGTATCTTGAGAAGAAGCTTAGCAGAGTGGAATCGGGTAAGTTCAGTAAAGAATGGCCTAGACCAACATTTTCGGGACAAAAGGGGGCTTTATGGACGAAATCGTAGACTTAGCCAAGGAAAATTTTGGCCCACATTGATAGAAGGCGATGGAGATGAACGGAACGGACGAAAATGAGCAGGGGATTCAACTGAGTTTGAACACTTTGATTTCAGATTCAAAACAATCATCAACATCTTGGTTAAGTTATTTCTTGAAAACTTTCACGAGTAGATAGCATTTAAACTGATGATTCTCTTCTCTTGATTTTAAGACGACGAGAGTTACACGTGCTACAAATGCGGCAAGATCTTTGCATACGAGAGTTACCTAGAGCGTCATGTTAAGTACGTTTGTCCTGACAAGACTGGTCGCACATGGAAGTGTTCTTACTGCAGTAAAGCATTTCAATACCCTTGTTACTTGAGGAGGCACATGAGATCACACACAGGTAAATGATATGTACTTATTGACTGAGTGGGAGGGCTGGAAGGGAAATATTTGGCTCGAGGATCAACGTAAGGACCGAGCATAGCGAGATCCGTGCGTTATGATCATGAGCCATACAATTTCCCTTTCAGCCCGAATTAGCGCAGTCAAGAAACTTTCTATCACATGACTATCCCTCTTTCTTTAACTTCTTTTCCTCATCAGCTCGCATCTCGAGGGGTCTTGCGGCTTTTTCCATCTCGTGCGGCCCTCAAACGGGGATTTTTATCTTAAAGTTTTCAATAAAAGCACGCGGGGTGATACAGGTCATTAGGTGACTCAAGCTGTGATACTTAAATACATTTGGTCGCGATAAAATATCGTTTGACGGTTGCCTTTGTATTTCAGGCGAGAGTCCTTACAAATGCACGCAGTGTTCTCGAGCATTTGTTCGTTCTACAGACCTTCAAAGACATTTGAGAAATCACACCGGTGAAAAGCCGTACAAATGTCAAGAGTGCTCGAGGGCATTTGCACGCTCCACGGACCTAAAGCGACACATGCGAACTCACACAGGAGAGAAACCCTACAAATGCTGGCAATGTTCCAAAGCGTTCTCTCAGTCTGGGAGTTTGCAAACCCATTTACATACGCATTATAAGGAGTCTTTGCAAATGAAGGGAGTTATACCGGAAAAAACGAAAAGAACTTAAAAGTGGCGCAGAAGCGTCGCAATTTTGTCGCGAGGAGCGGATAACGGAGGGTTAGCAAGCAGAGAAGCATTTGCTGTTTAATCAGTTGCATAAGACCAAAATATCAGACCTTTCAGGCAACAAGCGCGATATTGCCCAGTATGTGCGCTTCGTCAATTGAAGGATCCATGTTCGAGCTATCGGTATATTTCTCTCTGCATCAGAAAGATCAATCTTTTTGACTTTGTTTTGAGTCACATTTTGCTGATGAATCCATGCATGCTGAAACAGTTCTGGAAGACAACTCTAAGAATCTTCAAGTTTGATAAAGATTCACTTTTGCTTTAAACGCTGAACGAGCTTTACCCAAAGAAACTGCAGACTTTAAGACGCATGGGAGGTTCAAACCTTCTAGGTGGATTAATGCTCATCAAAAACAGTGCATTTGTGTTTTACTCAAATGGTTTAATACTTGATAACTTGATTTCTGCAAGAAAATGAGTGTCATTACGCAGTATTATATCGAAGGCTGGACTTAACTGGCAAGGAAGAAGTTAAAGTGAAATTGGAGAAAGCATTGACGGTTTTACCGAAGAGGAAATTGCTCTCCGATAGTTTCTGTTTCTATCTGCTTTTTTTACGTTGCTTTTTTACATCGCTCGAGATGGACGCTGATAACACAAAAACAAAAGGCTTAAAGAAAAAAAAATGAAAAGCGCATGTATATTTTTGGAATTTTTGCAAGGGTAAAATATTTAGTTTTGTGTATACTTTTGCTCGGGAAACTATTTTTATTTGCTTTGCTTAACTTTTGAAGAAAGTGAAGGATCTACTTGTATAGCTCTCAAAAAGGTTTCTACCAAAATTTAAGGTGTTGATCCGATCTTTGTCACACGGAGTCTACAATGTAAACGAAAAATCAACAATAGCTTCGCATAAACATCCACCATCGCATTGGGTAAAGAATGTCGACAACATTTCAAAAAAATGTAGATTTCAGAGAGTAAAACCACAGTCTTCAAGACTGTTGTACAAGAAGGTAAGGCTTGTTTTGGAACTGAAAAACCAAAAGATCTCTTTACATTGTCGACTTCAGAATTCCGCCATGATATCACTAAACTCGTTGCATTGGCAAATTTTTCAGTAGCCACTCTAAATCAACTACTTTGTCAGTCACATTCTGGAAGAAACGTGATTTGGTGTAAAGGTTGCTAAATTTTACTAGAGACCTTCTATAGATGTTGACATCCAAAATACTCGCCAGTTTTCTCCGGGATCTCCTCTCATTTTGCACAGTTAAAATTAAGGAAGTTGGGGATTATTGTAATAACCGAGCAACTGCACATCTACCCCTCCCTTAACTCAGCAACAGTGAACTGAGAACAAGGTAGGGTTGATGTTGAATTAGAAGGGGGGAGGGGAGGGGGTAGGTGCGCCTTTGCTCAATACTGAAATTGATCCCAAGTTGGTTCGTAGTAATCTCGTCCCCAGATCCTATCGTTTAATTGTAACTAAAATGGACGAGGAAGATCTGGGTATGAGACTAGGTTCGTGGCAATGACGAAACTTCGATTCTACGTTTTTCCCATTTTCTGTTCAGCTATGTTTGTTTCTCTTCAAATAAGGTTATGCGCGAAATTCTTTCAATGCAGCAGAGTCCCAAAGAATTTTGTCGAATGTTGTAGATAGCTTCATCATGAATTGATTTATTTTGTAACTTTCCTGTACATATGTTGCGAAATAGAAATCACTTTCTGGTATCATAAGCTCATTAATTGAGTTATATTTTTGCTATTCAGCTTTTATCAATAGCTGGTGTATATAGAGCATTATAGCTTATTTAAGCTTCAATTTTTTTTGTTCTGTGATTGGTCGATTGTAATTCTAGTTTTCAATTTATAGTACATGATAATCATGCCTACTTACTTTCATCGGGAAAAATAAGACAACATTTGTTAGTTCTATCGAAACGTTAAGTTTGTTACTGCCTTCTTTGACAAAGCCAATTCATTTTTGCGATCAGTTTGATTTCTGACGTATCAAAATAAAGCTGGCTACTTACCAAATACTTTTTTTTCAATGAAAATTGAGTCTAAACATATATTTTTTCGAAATTATATATCGCTGGAGTAGTTTAATTCTCTTTTCCATTAAAAGAAAAGACTATTTTACCCGTGTGTCTGTCAACTCTTGTTCTGTATAAAATTGTTATCATAGCTTACAAGATAATAATTTCAATATTCTGCGCAACCTAGTTTCCAGGGTCTCTGTTCTTTCCTATTGCGGGACCGCGTGGGCATGTAGAAGAGAGACATTGAAACGAGGTTGCATCCTGGAGGTACAATGTGTGTTCATTTAAGAACAGATACTTTAACACGAGCTGGTCTCAAAGTCATTCAATAAAAGCAAGATCTTAAGAACGACTGCAGTGACTTGTGACTGTAGTAACCTAAAAATTCCTCGCCTTTTTTAAATTCCGCTTTTAAAGTAGAAGAGGGTTACCTTGGGTTTGAAAATGACTCAACTTTCGTATTTTATTGAAGGTCTCAAAACTTAATCTGCATCGCGGAGTGACTTAGATTCTAATGTCTTACTCGGTTTTGGTCAGAATATCCTCCTTCCTCAAGCAAGCGTTAGTACAAAAATTAAAATTTTTAAGGGATAACGACTTGAAGACTTGTAGATCTCTAATGGACCCCCCTTTCCCGTGGAAACAGACAAACTGAATCACAAGTGAAAATTAAATGCATTTAGACAGTATCTTGGCAGAGGGTAACTCAGATCAAAGAGACTAAGATGAAAGGTAAATTATGTATGAGTATCTTGGAGGAAAGGCCTCTTGCGTTGCGCTTTTAAAGGATCTAGTTTTGCGTTATCAACTGGTCACTTTTGAGGGCCTGGGTGTGGAGGACTTTGGTTGAGTCAAAATAAAATTTATCAGTCCTCCACCTTCATACTCTGTTAGAGACGACTGATCCTCCTCCGTGCCTTTGAAAACCACCTGATCGTACCAAACATCCTCAGCTCCCCACCCTCCCCTCCCTGCCAAGCGATAACTGGTACTTAAAGACTCAATGTCTGCTTCTCAAAGAGCATCGTTCTGCGAACAAATTAATTTCACACAACAAAGCTGCACGCGCGCGCACGAGTTTCCCTTTAGTGACTCGCATTGCCATAGCAACTTTCATGTCTAGTAAGATTGTGCCAAATTTGTGTATCATTCTTGACACCACCTGAGAGGAAATAATTTCGACTTAAGAGGCGGTCAACAAGTGGAAAGCAAACCCCCTTAAAACATCGCCGTTGGTAATTATTGGAAATGTAAGGATGAAGAACACGTTCGCAAAAGTAACGTTACGTTACCTTCTCCTAGAACGCTTTTTCGTGTACGCTGAAATATCAGTAACAGGCCTTTTGATAAATACGGGTACCGTTTGGAATATTTAGCCTTTGTCTCCTATTTTTCATCATAATTTATTTTGAAGACTCGTATTCGGTCAGTCAAAAAGTCAACTCCATGGTTATTCCACTCTGAAAAGGATATTTAAAAGGTGAATGGGAAATAAGAGATATACGACTCGTATTCCCTGATTGCGAAACTGTATATTTGAGCCAAGACTGAATCTAACTAAGGTAAGCACTCGATATTTCTCCCAATGAGAATTAAAACATACTGGCCCGCGAGTCTGATCGGTGAGTACTTTTAAAATGCACCTAATCTCCTGCAGGTAAACTGCCGCGTACCCAGACTTCGTTTTTTTTTCAAAGCTGCGATTTACCTGGTTCAGAACTGGTGGCTTTAGTCATTGTAATCCCTTCCCTGTAAACAGCGTTTAAAAACGTGACCTTGCTACCTGCTTTTCTATAGATATTTATGTGTTATTATTTCCTCAGTGTTCTTCACTTGTGGAGACGTCTTCTTTTAATTTAACAAGAGAAATTTTGCCTCGTTCCGGCCAAAAAAAGGGATTAAAAAAACCGAACGCTTGAAACCTCCGCATCGACCGAAGGAACGGCACTCGACCATGTCCATTACCAGAGGTGAGTGTTGAAAGTGATCTCTCAATTCAAAATGAATTATTTGAGAATTTAAGCAGTTGACGAGCCAGATTGGCGAACCCAACATCATTGGTTTTAAATTTTAAGTTTTAGATTAAAAAATAGTGCGACCACAACACATCTTAAAGTCAATTTGATGTAATTGTAAATATTTTAACCCTTCTTTACGCTGTTTGATCTCTTCTAACTCCGCTAATTGCAATCGTTGGATAAACAGCACCTTCCAAAAAACCACGACGTGCTCTCCATTTCACAGGGGGGAGAAGGAGGAAGGGAAAATATACCTTGTGCTCCTCGTTACACGAAAAATATGGTTTGATCTCTCCTAATTCTGCAATGATTGCAATCGTTGTATAAACAGGATCTTGCGAAAAATAAGCCATGCTCTCCGTTCGACAGTGTGCAGAGTAAATATAATTACCGGCTCTCCTCAAATAAAAAAAATATGCAAATACAGTAATTTTTCGAATGTCTCGCAAACTGGGCGACTAATCGATTCTTAAAAATGAAATGCAGTGAATAGGAAAAAAGATATTGAAAGTTGAACGATGGAGATATTTTTCAGGCCGCAGTATCTGCACTTGAGAAAGTGTCTGTTTATTGAACCTGCGTTTACTCAAAGCTGAAAGGGCAAATGTCGGAAATTAAATTTCACATTAATTTAAATACAGCTGATATCGTGCATCGTTGCCACGTTGCTAAGACAGGTTGCCATATGATCAATAAAGCTATGTCAACAGAACCGACTCATTTCCACCACAAAAGTGTAATTTTCACTTAAAACACACTCTGCCTGCCATGGCAAGATAGATCACCGATGCGCTTTTTCTGAGAGACTAGCGTGAAATAGGCCTAATGATGTGCTTTGCGTTTCTTGTTCTCGTGCTCATGTCTAATTTTTGGGCCTAGATACACAATTTTCGTCTCATACCCAGACCCTTCACGGCCAGGTAGTTACATTACATTTCAGCTATAGTTACACGGTGGCACATTTGCAGTTAATTGGCAGTTAATTGGCAGTCAGTTTCCCTATAGTCCCCCCCTTTATACATTGTTGGCGACGAAAAAAAAATACCACTAACTCCCCCCCCTTCTAAAAAAAAAAAAAAGAAAGTCCTTCCCACACAGGCGATAAATTATGCCTGTACCTTGGGCAGGATGGTGGCGTTGAAGTCATTGACGAACCGTGTGATTGGTAATAACTTTGATGTTATCGCCCTCAGTTATTCTTCAGGGATGCGGAGCAGAGACTGTCATTTTCTTCTTGTCTGTGCTGTCATCAGCTGTTATATGTCCCGCCCTTGGTAGATATTGTAAAGACGCAATCACAGTGCTCATCGCTCTTGGAGCTGCTTGTCTCACCGGCGACGCGATCTTCCACCTCTTGCCGCACGTAAGTAAAACTAACAACTTAAAAGTGTATTTCTAAAAAATGAACACTAGGAACTGTGCTCAATCTCAAAGCGGTTATGGATTTGGGAATAGGACGTGTTAAAAATGAGTTTCCCAAAAGCCAAAACTGAAAAAATCACAAGAGTGGATTAAAAGGATAGCGAGTATAGGACAGTATCCTGGACAAAATAATGTCAGATTATCTCAATGGCGAAAAGTCTTAGCTTTTCATCTGATCAGTTGAGAGGGTTGCACGAGTTTTCTTGACCAATCACAGAGTGGAGTGAGGCAAAACACATGCATTTCTTGATTACCTCTGGCACTAAACTTCAGTACTTCAATCTCAAATTCTTTAGGCATTATCTCAACATCACGACCATGACGCTGGTGCTACAGAATCTACTCATAGCGTACTTTTATGGCGTTCCTTCTTGGTTGTGTGCAGTATTTATTCCTTCTACCTATTCCATCTTTTTTTTCAAGTTATGGAGGTAAGGAGAACAAAACTGTGGTTGGCATGGTTGTCTGCTGTGCCTAAGTCACGCACTATGACAGTAACACAATCTCATTTTCTAGGGTAGTCACTCTCACTCTCATACTACGTCACCTGATCCACTTGAGAACAAGGGCCTGCTAGAGGCAGAAACCAAAGCCAAGCGAGAGCAGTCTGCGGCCAAAATTAACAAAACGCTCATAGGAACGATATTAGTGGGTGAAGTACTACACACATCGTGCGATGGAATAGCTATAGGAGCAGCTTTCTCAAAATCATCAGGGGACGGACTCAGTACGACACTAGCTGTGTTATTTCATGAAATACCGCACGCAGTAGGTAAGGAAATGACCAATTCCATATCAATCTTTTATGCTAAGCGAGTGTAGCCTCACTACATTTGCAAGCTCCTACGCATTTGGTGTGGGTATTACGCCCATGGGTTGAAAACTCTTTTCATTCACGTGCACGTAGAGAAAATATGCAATGGGCAAATTGTAAACTGGGCATGTATAATTTTTTTGAGAACAAAAGACATTGAAAGAATCACAACTTGCATGAAATACAACCCAATCTACACATTGACTTTTTAGCCTCTAAGAATGATCAGCATGGAATTTCTCCTGACATTATCATCCCTTAATCAAGCATCAAGGTCATGAGAATAAAGGAAATGATCGCAAACTCAGGAAGCTATTGTTAGTTTAACAAATTCTCCTTGTCAGCATCTTAGGAAATTTATATATTACTGTATGGAAAATATGCATGGGGTTCCATCGATTAAGTTGTCAGAAGCAGCAGCACTGCAAAATCCTTTTTTCGTTTTTCTAATTTCCTCTAGGTGATTTTGCCATCTTTGTCTCGTCTGGTCTGCGTTTCCGCGAGGCCCTGGGTCTGTTATGTTTCTGTTACCTATGCTCATACGCGGGCATACTTGTAGGAGCGACCCTAAGCGCCAGTCTGAATATGACGCCCTGGATATTTGCCGTCATAGCAGGAATGTTTCTTTACGTAGCACTGGCAGAAATGGTGAGTAGTGACCGTATATTCCTTGTTCATGAAATGGAATGTAATTGCTCCCATGATGCAACATGATAACACTCTCAAACATATGCTTGGACTCCCAAGTCGAGACTCCAATGTTTTAGTGTAAAGAGTCAAATTGAAGAAACAAGAACATGCTTTAATGCAATTTTGTAAGTTATGTGTTTTCGTCTTGTCACGAGCTTGGGACAAAGAATGACTAATTCTGAGTCCTAACGAGGAATCGAACCTCAGACTTTCGGGTTTCGTGCTCCATCGCTCTTCCACTGAACCGAAGAGACTCTACGGTGGGTCAGGCTATCACTAGGTTCATCTCTGACACGCGAGCCGCATAAACGTACTGTCAGGATCAGCATCGAAAGCATCGAGCGTTTCAACAGAGTAAGAAAGATGGAAAATTTTGAGATCGACAAAAAGAAATGGAGAAAGCTAGCATTCCATCCTTTTGTGCTTTAAAGTTACTGTTACCATGACAAATAAAGCTTCATTATTCCCATTTCAGGTTCCAGAGATGTTCGCCAGCATAACATCAAGATCTGATAAAAAACAGCGAGTTATATTTCTACAAAACCTTGGACTTTTGCTCGGATTTGCTATTATGATGACGTTAGCCGTTTTTGAAGAAACGATAAGGACATCGTTGCAGTAGTTAATACTATGGAAATGATTTTTTGTAGTTACCCCTCGGCTTCCTTTTCGCACAGCAAAAGTAAAATGTTGTTGAGGTCAGCCTGAAGAGAGTGATTCCAGCGGAATTTTCTCGTAGCCAATGTGAAATAAGCGATAATCAAAAACGAAATGAACATGAAAGTGAACTTCGCAGTAATGAACACTACTTTACCAGAAGTGAAAATAAGGCCTGACAAAAAAATTCAGGCCTGTACGGGATTTGAATCCTTGACCTCTGCGATATCGGTGCAATCAGTCTACCAACTGAGCTAACAAGCCAACTGGGAGCTGGTCAGTATGTTATTCATCACTATTGAGTTTATTACGAACCAACATACTCTGCTTAAGTACTATTCATTACTGCGAAGATTGCTTTCATATTCATGTCGAACATGAATTTATATCTGGTAATCCTTGGACACAGATCTTGGTCTTATCACTGTAAAATTAGGCTTACAAAAGAATAAGAACGAAATAATATTTTTGTCCTTTTTACGAAAGCGAGTGACAGAATTCTCTCTTGTTTACTTAATGTCCATTTATAGCATTTTTATTGCTGTAAAGTCGTTTTTGTCCTCAATCAACTTTCTCTTTTATAAAATTGACAAGCTATGTTACGTTTAAATCACGTGGCTTGGGATAAAACAAGCGAAACAGATTTTCAGTCTTCAAACGTGCCACGTGCAAACCGCTGGATAAAATGCGATCCATTAGGTCCCAGGCGGCTAAATGATCTGCTGTTCCTTTATCCATTCCTATAAAAAGGTAGAGGATTGTGAAAAAAGAGAATGAGGGATGAAAAGATCAACTGCTGCCGTTTCGATTTTCTGAGATGAATTCGCCATGTGGTAGAGAAAAAGAGCTAAGGCGCATTTTAATTGTCACAAAATCAAACGACAATGCCCAATAAGAAAGGAATTAATGAGAGCACGGAGTTAAAAAAGGAAATTGCATGACGCATCGGAAAATTCGAGTGACCAAGGCACGAGAAGCTTCAGTTTTACATCTGATTGTGGGAGGAAAGCCCCAGTTTTCTAGAAAATTGAAAAGCGTATCAAACATAACCAATGAAACTCCGAGTACCCTTAGCACTGTTTTGAAAACTGTTCAAAAACAGTATGAAAAAAAACTTCCTAACCTCCAAGCCGATCCCAGTCGCTCTTGTAAATGCCGATCGTTTGGTAACCCCGGTCATCCCATGATCCATGCGGTTCAGCAGGATACGCCCCACAGTTCAAGCCGAAAAGGACTGGTGCAAATATCATCTTCCCTTCTATGCAGTGCTGTGACCCAAAGGAGCAAATAACATTTAGATCAATTTAACAATAATCAACAGAATGAGCTTCATCATTCTAGAGCTTACCTTTCGACAATTTTCAAAAATATCCGCTGGCAAATCCGTATGAACGTCACTAGTTAGAACAATACTCTGTGAACTCCGCACCAGTCCTACTCCAGAATTAATGGCGCGCGTCAAAGAGAACTCCCCGTTCAATTTTTCAACCTTGTACTTCTGCAACGAAGTGGCTTGCAAAGTCCTTTCGACGTCTAAGCCCGATTTTCCAGAGTGAACAATCACCAACTGAAAATCGACCTCTAAGCTCTCTCGCACAATTTGTTCCACTCTTTCAATAAAACGATGCAGCCGTTGACCTTCACGATCAACAGCAATAATCAAATGAACTGAAATTTCCTTCTTCCAGCCCAGATCCCTCGGATAACAAAGTTGCACGTCCTTCTCTTGTGAGTTTTTACCAACTTCGTTCTTTTGTAAATAGACATACTCTGCGACTCTTTCTGTGTAATCTAAAGCATCACAGCTTAATTCTATCTCAAGAAAATAAAGAACAGCGTTGCTCTCTTGTTTTGTTGCCATACGCTCGAGGGTAAGAACTCTCTCGACGAAGTACTTTCTGGAGAATGATTAAAAAAAAATTGCCAAAAGAACTCTAGTTATTGTAATTTTAGTTATGTTTTAAGTTCCTATGTTCCTTTCTCTATCTAAAGAAATGAGGTCCAGCGGACCCTTTTTTTTCTTGTCCATATTAAGAGCACATATGTATTTTTTCTTACTGATGCCTGATATTAGACTGAAAGACAGGTTGACAGTCCGAGTAGGTTACCGACTGATTGGCTTAATGGATGAAAGAATGACTGACTGTCTGAATAAGAGAATGAATGACTTCCACACTGAATGATGCGGGAATGCATGAATGAATAAGTGAAAGAGCCACCAACCCATCCACTGACCCCCTGACTGACTGACCACTGATTGACTGATTAATTGGCTGACTTACTGACTCACTCACTCACTTGCTCACTGACTCACTGACCATTGATTGACTGACTGACTGACTGACTGACTGACTGGCTATTGATTGGCTGAGTTACAGACTTACTCACTTGCTCACTGACTCACTGACTATTGATTGACTGAGTGACCGACCCGCTGACTATTGATTGACTGACTGACTGACTGACTATTGCTCTGACAATCGCTCTGACGAAGGGCTAACGCTCGAAACGTCAGCTTTTTTACCCTTTACGGTGGCTAATTTACGTTTTCAACCCAGTTGTTAACACTAAATTACTGACTATTGATTGATTGACTCACTGACTCACTCTCACTGACTATTGACTGACTCACTCACTCACTCTCTCACTCGTCGATTATTACTGAGTCACTCGTTCACCGACTGACTCACTCACCGACTTACTGCCTCAATAACTCTTGACTGACTGATTCACAGACTGACTCGCTGATTCAGTAACTATTGATTGACTGACTGACTTATTGACTGGCCCGCCGACTGACCAACTGACTTATTGACTGAGGTACTGTTACGAAATTAAATTATCGTTTGAGAGTTTGCAAGATACAGACTTACTTTGGGAAAACTTTTTCGAGTCCTGCCATAAAAAGATTTACCACCAACTTTGCTTCCACGTTATCCTGCCATTTCCGGTCATTATTAGTTACTCTGATTATTTCTTGAATAGCTTTGTATCCATGGAAACGGGGTACATTCGGCATAGTCGCGGTTGGAAGCGTATAGCTGCACGTGGGAAGCGTGCGTTCCACAGTACTGTCCGTGAGGAACGAGACGAGATAAGGCTTTGTAACTTTTAATTGGCTATCCGATGAAGCCTTCGAAAACTCAATTTGAGATACGAGGCGCGATTCTGCAGAATGCGAAATGTACTCCGATGTTATGACCTCCAAATAATGTTTCCCAGGTCGAATCCAGTGCAATTCCACAAAATCAGCGTCGGTGCCTTGAAGATGAATAATCTCCAGGGGGTATTTATTTCCCCTTTCGAGCAGAAAATCATCGGAAATCTGTGAATCGAAGCGAATTTCGCCGACAGGAGCGCTTCCTACGTGATCACGCATGGCCACGCTCGCGGCAAGTTTTAAACTCGCCAAGCTTTCATTTGAACCAAACCAGAACTCTGATCCATCATCGGAATATAGGACAAACTTGTAATAACCGGTTTCTGGTGGATGTAAATAACCGAATGCACGCTGGCCATAGTTGCTTCGATTTAACTGAATCCTCGTGTTTGAAATGAAGTATAACTCGTCGTAAAACCGTGGAAAGAAAGGAGAGTTAAGCAAATTTGACAATTTTCCGCCACAAACGTTTGACCAAACTTGAACTGCTATTTTTCCCATAATTTTCTTATTGTCATCTTGTGGTGCCGAAGTTTTTGTTGAAACCTCTTTCTGCCATAGGTTCTGTAATCTTTTCAACTCGCCTATTTCGTGCTTCTTTGTGACATGGTTGTAAATCAACACTAAAGCCAGAACGGAGAGAACGCTGCCGATATGATCCAGAAGTCGGAGCACATTTCTCATACTTGAAGATCTCATTGTTTCAAAAATCACGAAATATTCGACAAGTGTTTTCCGTGAGATTTTACGCAGGAAAGATCGTGAGAATAAACGCTCCAACTTTTTGATCTTCCCAAATACGGTGATTATTCCTTTGTTACAAGGGTGACCCTTGGTAAGTCAAAATCACTTGCAATCGAACGTAGAATCGGAAATGGTTCTTTCGTCGTCTGATGATGGTTGTGTTGTTTTGCAAGCCTTTGAAATTTTGCATAAGCTGTTGTCAGTCATTTCCAAAGAAACGGGAACTTTTTAGCAGGAATGCGTAACCGCGTGGTTCAAATGTTTACTTTTGGAAAATAAAAAGATAGAAGCATACTCAAAATATATATCTAGACTATTAAATAGATTAAAATGTTATTAATGAAAAGAAGTTCCTGTAGAATAAGATGTTAAATGTAATTTATAAGCCGCTTAAAGTAGTCTGATGCCTTTGATCCATGATGTTTCGAGAGCCATTCATATTCTGCTATGAAGAAGTGGAACGGTTTATTTGTGTTTTTTTTTTTTTTCAAAAATTTTATTCAAAATTTCAAATGCAATGGTGATGGAGCACTTGGCGACCAAAAGTATATATCTCTAATGAAATGAAAACTTCTATCGCGTAGCCCTGTTAGCTCAGTGGCAGAGCACTGGTCTCGTAAACCAGGGGTCGGGAGTTCGATCCTCCTACAGGGCTGCTTTTATACTAGAATTCTTTTGATTTAGCTACCTAATCTTCAAGACCATTTTCTGTCCCATTTTCTGTCTCCTTTTAAAGAAGACTATTACTATCTTCTACATGGCTATGAAAAATGTCTTTATAGAATAGAAAGTTGAAATAATATACTCTTAGTCCTTTAAATTAATGTATTGAATGAACACCAACCATTTACATATCAACCTTAAAATTGTAATGTTATGATTGGTGTTGTGACTCAGGATGGTGTTCTTTTTCTTTTTTTTTTTTTACAAAATTTTCATATCGATTAACGTCTAACTATGCGTTTTCAAAGGCAACACAACAAATCAAAATATTGCGCATTTTAAACAGTTAATTACATTCACCATCATTGTTTTTCTTCAACGGGACCAAACTATACTTTTTTAAACAATTTCAGGCTATTAATTAGCATTATTATACTTAAGTATGATGTAAGGCTTTTAAAAAATTCCCTTTTTTAAACTTTTTTAGGTCATTAACTCACACTGACTCAAAAATAGGTCACAAGTCCACTTTATTCCACCTCACCTCAAACATACTCACAAACATATAAAATTCTCTTGACACAAAATCTTCCAGAAAACCCCCTTCTCTCCATCCCCCAATATAAAATTCCCTGAGAAATGAACCCATCCGTTTATATCCTACTTAAAAGCCCCGATAGAACTTAGTGTTAAGAGAAGAGCTTTAGTTTTTTTTTTGTCTTGTTTTATTCAATTGTTTTGTTTTTTTGGCTGTAAAGGTACAGTTTTGATCAGTTTTTACCAAGAGTATTGTTTGAGCAACCAATGATTTATTTTTGCAATTTTTCTCGACATATTTCCTCCTATCCCTCAACAGGTGGCAAGACGAAATATTCGCTTGTCAAAACAGGTACCGGTCACATTCCGTAATCACCTGAACAACTTCTCACTCGAGAAAGATCACAGAAAAGTATTTCTATCGTCTTCTCTCTAAGAAGACTGAGCCGCAACGAAAGAACCTCTCACCTTTTTCTCTTCTCAAAAGATTTTAATCAAGGAACCGATGTCTTAATCACAAAATAAGTCACTTTGTAACATACAGCCTTCTGGAGCCGACATGGAAGGAAGGAAATTATTTAGGACAGGAGTTGACTCGATCGTAGGACACCATATCCAGGTTTTTGCTTTAAATGTTATTTTTCTCGTTTTAGTTTCATGCGCTAGTTTGCCTAAAGACAATATTCCTGTTCGAAGCGCTTCGCCTTTAAAAATCGATTCGACAAAACCCGCTCGTTCAGATAAAAGTGAACAAAACAGTATTATGCCTGGACCTATCTGCCAATCAGAAAGTTGTAAAGCGATTTCAAAGTTAATCCAAAAAGTTCGCAATGCGTCGGTGGACCCTTGCGACAATTTTTACGAGTATGCTTGTGGTCAGTGGATCAAGGAGAATCCAGTTCCTAAAGGGCATCTGCAGTTCTCAAGGATAACACAACTGTCCAAAAATAACGAACGAATTATGAAACAAAATCTTCTTGCCGATGGATCTCATAACACGGAAACGCTGATGAAAGTGAAGAATTTTTACAGGTCGTGCTTGAATGAGGTAGCCATCGACCATCTTGGAAATAAACCGCTGTTAGATTACATTGAAAGCTTAGGATCTTGGTCTCTAGCTAAAAACTGGAGAGCAAAGAAGTGGAGCTTCTACGATACGCTAGGCTATGTGCAGAAGAACTATCCCGTAGAAGTGTTCTTCAGTGTAAATATTATTCAAGATCCCGTCAAGAAGAAGGGAAGCGCAGAAAGAAAATATGTCATTCTGGTGAGTATTTATACATAGAAAGAAAATTTATTTCTCTACGCATGTCGATGTTAATGGTTAAACGGCATAAAAGCCAGGAGAATCGCAACTCTGACGCTTGCCCTTGTTATTCGGTGAAGAGATATTTCTGCTCCCCCCCCCAGCCGTTAAGAGCATTCCAATATATTTGCACATTATAGGGCCAGACTTTTTTCGGGTTCCCTGACAGTTCGTTAAGTTTGTGTCTATTTGCCTTGGTATAGGTAGTGATAGAGCTTTGTCCTAATACAAATAAATTGACCCCCACTAGGAGGGGGCTGAGAACTTGAGACATACCGCAAGTTCATCGCAGATTTTCCTCTGGCCTTTTTTTTTTTTTTTTTTTTCGCTACCGTAACAAAGTATTTTGGCGCCTTCTGGTTTTAAAAAAAACTGAATGGGAAAAGAAGTGTAACGTTAGACATTTCCTAAGAACAGGAAAAAAATGTAATAGGTTTTTGAACTGGGGGTGAATCTAAAACAAGTTTCCCCGGAAACCTTAAAAACTAGGCGAGAATGGTTAATATTTTTGGCCTCCGAGGTTACCATACACTTCCTTACACCAAAGTTATTTCAGATTTACCTGGCTCCAGCTTAGATAAGGGTCTCTTTGACGAAAGGCACCTTAAGTATTTAGTGCCTCACCATTATGTCCGAATTAGGTCATCCAAAGAGATAGTTATCAATTGAATGATATAACTTCGATCAGATCGCCATTTAGACAAGCGCAATTTCGGTGGCACAGAATGCTCTTCTACACATCTTTTTATTAAAAAAAATTGTCCACTACGAAGATTAACTTATAGACTGGTTTGGGCACATCTACAAGAGTTCGTTGGACTAGCATAGTAGCCACAAGTTCTTTACTGAGACCTGTTCTGCACTTTTACATTAGACTTCTGCAGTAAAAAATGACTATGTCACGCGTTTGCCAATTATCTCCATGAGCCTATTCATTGTAATAAAGGTAACCTTCGTCGAAATACGATAATTTCTAATGTCATAAAACTTATATATAGGAATTGTAAAGAGGATCAAGGTAAATATGTATTAGCGGTTTTTGTCGATATGTTTTTTGTTCCTGTTTCCTTTAGATTGACCAGGCAACTCTAAACCTTCCACAAATCATCTATTTCACAAGTAAAAAGGTAAGAAGCCAAAGCTAATAAAAATTTTCATTGATTTTCAGAGTAAGGAGTTGTTAGATGTTATTTTTTGGGGACCAGTCTCAATTAATCGCCTGAGGGGAGGGGACGGGGGATGGGGGAGGGGAGAGAATCACATTGTTTCCACGGGGTAAAGGAGGGGGGTCAGTCGTCTCAAACAGAGTTTAAAAGGAGTACTGTAGAAAAATGGCTGCCAATGAGTGGCGGGGGGGGGGGGAGGGGGGAGGGGGAAGTCATTAGAGTACTACATAGCCTTATGGGGATATCAGGTAAATTTCATTGTGGGACAACCAAAATCCTCCAACCCTGCCCCTCCGGCGGTAAATAATGAACGGTCTCTTGGGAAAGAAATAGCCACGTAGACTTACAGTGTTCAGTCGAACCTGTATTAAGCGGAACCGTATTGAGCGGTCGCCTTGTATTAAGCGGTCGACTGCTAAAGTCCCACAATTTTTTCCCGTTACGTACTGTAATTTTCACCTTTGACCAAGTCCCTACGGCCTGTTTGTGTTGTTTTCCACCTGTATTGAACGGTCACTTAAAACGGAACCACTCAAATAAAAGTAAGTATAATCTCTCGAATCAAATGTATTCCACATTTATCCCCCGAAAATCGATGCTAGCACTTTGAGTTCAAGTGTCCGCAATGCACTGCAGGTTATCTTTCTCCTTTGGATTGTTAAGAGAAATCTTACCTACGAACACCACGCGCTTATTTTCATGTGTCTTTGAGGTTACTGACTTTTGTTGTTTGCCTCAGGTTTTAAAGGAAGTATGGAAGTACATGTCAATTATCACGAGTCTTTCTGGGGTCAATAAAAAAGACTCCAAACGAGCAATGAAGGATTTGCTTCTATTTGAGGGAAAACTTGCACTGGTGAGTGAAAAATTCACATTCAAATATTCACCAGTCATTTTTTTTTAAAAGAAGAACATCTGATTTTTAGAGAGAAGCAAAAATTTCTGACGAACTCATATATTGTAATACTGAGTCAATTTAAGTTACATTATGCGTTTTTATAATAAATGCCAGTAAAGGCTGTTTTCCGTCAGGCGCGGGAAACTGGTAGCCGAGAATGCCCTTCCAAGTTTCCTAAATTTAAGAGAAATTCAGCATTACTGAGTTCCTTATTCATTTACAGTACTGGGTTCCAAAAGTTTCCAAGAAATACGTACGGATTCCTATTGGCAAGCTGGAGGAGGCTCTTCCAGAGGTAAACCCCTAAATTGGTCCCTCCCTCCCTCGCAGAGGCTCAACATGACTTCGTAGAGAGAGGCCGCTGAGAAATGATCGCAGGTCCATGTTTTTAGCTTCACGATCCTCACTTTACTGCAGAGCTCAAACAACAAACCTCCTCGGGGAAATAGGGGGACTCAAATCTAATGATAGTCTTCCAAATCAGGTCGATCATAAACATTTGTTTATAAAGCGTTTCACGCACGAGCCACTAGCAGTTATGCAAATTTAACAGCACAAAGGAAGGTGATAAAATAAGGAAATAATTGAAATCCTACAAAAATTTTCTTGGTACCCCCATCATAGCCACCATCCTGTACTATAATCGCCACATAAACATGCTAATACGTTACTTATTGTTTTTTTTTATCTGATAAATTCAGTGTTTGTTAGAGGATTTAACCGCGTAATCCGAAGGTCTGAGGTTCAAATCCAAAAGGAAGCTCAAATTTTATTTTTTTCCTATTCTGGTGACAGATGAATAGAATCTCTCTTTAAGTAATAAATTCTTGCTTCTTTGTTCATAGTTCCCTTGGCTGAAGCACTTGCAAAAGGTGTTGTCAAGGCCTGATCTCACTAAAGACGACTTGGTAGTGGTGCTAGCAAATGACTACTTACAGAATATGTTGAATCTACTGCGCACGACCAAAAAGAGGTGAGCTTATTCGAGTTTTTCTCCGTTGCTTAACTTAACCCCTTGGAGTGATTAGCATCAAATTTCTCTTTATAGTTTCACAGGGGAATCAAAGGTTAAGATCAGGAGAATAAAGGAAATGATCACCAACTAAAGAAGTTCTTGAATGTTCACAAATTCTCCCTGTTGATATCATAGGACATATCTAGAGAATGGTACGGAGAATATGCATACTGATGCCAGGGTATAAAGGGTTTAGCGTACAGCCTCTTCAGCCGGGGGCCATGGATGAGATCAGGCTCAAGGGACAGAAATGTTGTGAGGGATTAAGCAGTGGGGGGGGCATATTTTAAGGAAAATTATGTTTTGCGCGATTCTTTCTTTTAAATTTTTTTTTTTCAATTTTTTCAAGTTTTTTTTCCTTCCGGACAATCTTCAAAGAGACGGACACTAGATAGAGCGGAGAGTGACAGCAATAATACAGAAAGCCCTGTGACATTCACAGACCAATTACTTAATATCATAGTATCTAAAAACTTCTGCCTAGTCATAAGCCCAGCGCGGTATTTACTTCATGTTGTTTTTCTCTCTCTTAGTGTTTTATCGACGTATATGGTATGGCGCTCCATTAAGGATGTTGTGCCTCTCCTTTCAAAAGAATTCCGAGCGGTTCACCAAAAATTCAAAGTGAAACTTCTTGGAAGTAAAAGAAACAAGACCAGAGCAGACATCTGTTTTAGCTACACCAACAACATCCTTGGCCCAATGCTTGGAGCGTTGTTCATCAGAAGTGCTTTTGGTCCGAGCAGCAAGGAGAAGGTAGGAAACTTGCCAACGTCATACCCAGTTCCTCTCGTCCTTTTTGCACCCGGTCCTCTTTCTGTTTGTCGTTTTGGCTCAGAGAAATCTGGGAACGAGATTGAATGATATGCAATGAGTTTAGATCACATGCAGTCAACTCTCGTTACCACGAACAATCTTGCACAATAATTTATTGTTTTTGTTACTGCTATTTACTTGAAGCAGTGTTGTTTCGTCATCCTTTTTCAAAAGGGTGAATTGAGTAGTGCTATCGTAAAAAAGAAATCCAGAATTTTTAAACTCCATTAAACATTCCAAATTTTGGAGTTGATGAAGTCCGTATTGCTTCGACACCGTGTTGGCCAGGAACTTGCAGCAGCTCAGTGACAGTGTCACTTATAACTGGGTGTCTTTTACAAAGAGATATCTAAAATGTGAAAATTTCCTACATTTGACATACTTGGCTGTCTCTCTATTTCTAAACTGAGGGTCTCAATTGGTCAGGTAATTACATGGTCTTTACGCAGACCTCCAATTTCTCTTTTCCTCTCCTAAGGGCGTTCTGGCACTCTTCCTTCTTGCGCTTCCTCGATCAACTTAAAAAAAAAAGAAAAGAAAAAAAAACTGGACCGGAATCCCTCTCTTTGTTCCATTTTCGTAACTGAGTGTGTACAGAGCTTTTTTCTCGACATTCTTATCATTATTATGATGATTTTTCTTTGATAGGCTAATTCAGGCGAACCGCAAGAATGACATGCATTTCACGATCCTCTCACTGCTATCGATTTTTTTTTTTATTGTTGTTTTTTTTTTATCAGTGAAACGATCCTTACTGTACATTATCATAGATGTTCCAATATCCTCTACGTAAAGCTGATCACGCCATTTTTCTATTCAAGGTGGAAGTTATGATGGAGGGTATCATCCGGGCATTTAAAGACCGAGTGGCAGGGGTGGGCTGGATCGATAATCAAACTGTCCAAGCCGTCAGAGAAAAAGTCAGTAAAAGATGTTGAATTCAAAATATTCATATTAAATGAAATCATAAAAGGAAATCCCTTTCAAAATGATTTGATTGTGTGCAATCTTAAAAAAACGAACTTAAACTTTTGAAACAATCGAACCCGCACGTGTCGTTAATGATCGTCAATGATCGTTTGGGAAGAGTTTCCTTAAAACCTTCTCAATAGATCGTTTACGTTTCTTAAATAAAGACATTTAACCCTTTAACTCCCATGAGTGACCAGGACAGAATTTCTCCTTACAATATCAATACAATATCAACCAGATAACTGATTAGAATAAAGAAAAATATTAATTTGGGGATAATGAATTGATCCAATACTAAATTCTCTGAACTAACATTATAAGAATTGTATTGTTTATAGTAAGGAGAATTAAAAATTTGATTTGGGAGTGAAAGGGTTTGGACGACAGGTGCGAGCACCCTGTGTATCTATTGTTGGACCCCTTTTGTTTCTGCGAACAACAGAGAAGAAAGTGGATTTTATGCCCATGCTAAATTTTGTCAAAACGAAGCGTAAAATAACCAGATAAGAACCTTCAGAAAGCTTGAATGAAATATTCATGCTGAAAGTCAATTACTTTCAAAAGTGGCCAGATAAATGGAGACCTCGGGGTTCATACCCTGTGCATGTGCCTTTTAAAGTTTCCAGTTGCTCCAATTTTTATGTGGTTGACATTTTACTTCTTACTTTGGTTCTCAGGCGGATGCAGCACTTTATCAAGTTGGATATCCTGATTATTTGTGGAACGATAACAAATTTTCCGAAAGATATAAAATGGTAATTTTAAACAAATTGATTCAATGTTGCTGAAGAAAATCTGTATCAATACTTGATCTAATTTAGTCGTTAACATCCTCGGTAGTATAGTGGTGAGTATCCCCGCCTGTCACGCGGGAGACCGGGGTTCGATTCCCCGCCGGGGAGAATGGTTACCTTCTTTTTTTTTTTTTTTTTATCTTTTTTTTTCGCTTTATTTGGTGGAAGAAACATTTAAGTCCTGCAAAATTGTACTAAAGCTATTACTCTACCCTTTGGATTTTTTTCGAAACTTAATTAGAGCATGAAATAGCAGCTGTGTCCTCGCCCCATCCTCCCGATCAAGGACACGACCTACATTTTGATTTCTTTCAAACGCCGACAGCCATAAGACAAGTTTCAATGCAATAATTTTTCTAAGCTTTCCGTTTATTTAATGCTTTTTTCCCGTGATTTTTCTTCTAGCTGAACATTACAGAGAACCAGTGGTTTCAGAACGTACTGAACACAGACCAGTTTTCCAACTATCAAACCTACCACAAGTGGGGAAACCCAGTTGATAGACATCAGTAAGTCGGGTAACTGTTAGTGTACTTTTAGAAAAGTCGCCCGTGCATACTTTCCCCCGGTACTGTTCAAACTAGGCACATTTGATAAAAAATTCCATGTACTCACAAGTAAACCTAACTCGGCAATTTGGGATTAGGAGAACTTGTCAAGGAGAAATTATTATAGAGAAAACTTGCTAATAATAAAAGATTATTTTCGAAGGAAACGGTAAGGAAAAGATTGAAGAGAAATTTTTCTCCATTACCGTTGCCAATTTTACTTGGCTAAGGTTTATTACAAGAAACTTTTCCCTGAAAAATACATTTGTCAGGAATAACTTGTTTGTTGGTTATGATAGACATTTTCTGCTCCGTCCTATTTGAGAACTTGTGTTTTTTTCCTTCTATTTACAGGTGGATAACTGTTCCTCAGTTGGTGAACGCGTTCTATGTTATAACTAAGAATGAAATAGGTAAAGAAATCAATCATTCGCACGAATGGCATGATATTCAAAGGTTAAGATTAGTAATAAAACTTGAAAAAAGCAAGAAACCAGCTCGTAAAGGAAATTTCTTGAACCGACTACAACACAATGTTAATCGTGAAGAAAAAGTGATTCAGACTACTGTGATTATGTCTCGCTACGCATGTAGTCATTGTGTGACTAAGGGCCTGGTTCTCGTGCGTTTTCCTCGTGATTTCTCTGGTGTTGACGACTCGACAATTAACATATATCTGCTCAAACTGTTGGCATGGATGAACCTGGGCTACATAAACTGGGCCCAACAGACAGTGAAGAGTTTAAAAGCTTTTAAACTTTTTACGGTGGCCAATTTACGTTATTCAACAGACAGTAAGTTTCTTTAATCAAGCTCTTCGGACTAAGTTTCACCGCCCAATCACAGCCGAGCATAATAAACGTGTAACCGGTCCTGCATTGCCTAAAGAATTATCGCAGTGTGCATTTGAAAGGTCGCGACTCAGATAATGAGTGATGACCACTTTACAAAATTATTACTAATTACTCTATTTAATTTGTATCAGTTATAAACACCTCTTAGTTTAGATTTCTAATCAGGTACATTGCATTCATTTTGAGGTTATATCACTGTGATGTCAATGTGCAGCAATTATGTACCGGAGAAAAAATGGTAAAGCTAGAACTAGGCGACATGTTACAACAAACACGTTTTCTTTATTTTTTTCAGTTGTACCAGCGGGAATTCTGCAAGAGCCATTCTTTTATGGAAACGACATACCAAGGTGATAACACAAAAATTGAACATTTCGAACTAGTAAAGTTTTCATGAAGTGTTTCAACAATCGCTAGTTCTTATTTGTGTGGCACTGTTTTGTCTTAACCTGGCGTCGCCTTGTGAGTTCTTAAGTTTTCCCATAAATTGCCTCGTTTCAGGTCCTTAAGTTACGGTGCCATTGGTCACGTGCTAGGTCACGAGTTGACGCATGGCTTTGATACGACAGGTAACAGTTTTCACATGATTTTAGCATGCAACTTCGTTCTCCCAACATGCCGAGCTTTAAATTCTTTTTTACAGCTCTTTTTGCTTTTGTAACGTTAGAGATGAGAAATATGTTTTTCTCTATGTTTCCAGGACGAAAATTTGATAAGAATGGTGAACTTATTGAAAAACGAACTCAGTGGAGTGAGCCTGCGATCAAGATGTTTCAAGAAAAAGCAAAATGCTTGGTGGAGCAATTTTCACAGTACAAAGTCCTTAACAAATTCCACGTAAGTTCGAAACGCGATTATTTACCAGCGTTTAAGTGATATGTATAGGATTAAAGGTATTAAACCGATTTTAATACATAGTTTGAACCCAGGAGTATCATTTTTGAGTTGAACGGTATGGGTAGTGGTGATTGTCGAAACGTGAGTCATACCTTCCAATAACAATCCTTCTTATGACTCCTTTGACCTGCACGGTCAAAGAACTCCTTCTTGAAGAAACGTTAGTTCATAGCAAGTTAACACAAAGTCGTTCGTTAGATTTCCCTGACAGTTTCCTGGTGTATTTTTTACCCCCTCCCCTCCCCTCCCCCCCCCCCTCAGTTGAGAGAGGCACTGTGTTGTACACACGAAGAAGAGGCTTGAGCCCCCATCTTAATCACGTGGCGGAGTTCAGGGTGCAGTCTTTAGATCACCGTCTTTCTCATTACTTTTTTTATCTTTAACATTTTCTTAACAATTGACCAGATCAACGGTCTTCAAACTTTGGAAGAAAACGTGGCAGACGGAGGAGGCCTGAATCTAGCATACCATGTAAGCAATATCACGTGATAATTCTCACGTGATCGTACTTTTCTTTTTATTTGATAAACAGATTAGTGGACAGAAAACTCTTGGCGAAAACATCGCTGACTTGGGAGGAGTCAACCTTGCTTACCACGTAAGAATTATTTCCTTATTACCCCAGCTACGTCGAGGTTCTCCTATGAAATTTGTTCAAGTTCAATGCCTAATATTCATTTGTCAAGTGTGTTCATCTGCTTGAATTTACTCGTAAGATTCTTATCCCAAAAATGTAAATCACAACAGCCTTGTTAATGTCAAACCGAGGTCCTACTTGCATCGCTAAGATGAAGGTCCCTGCCTCTTGGCCACGCAAGGCTTGGGGTACGCGAGTACAGCCAGTTATATAACAAACGAAAATAATGTAGTCGACCTATGAAATCTCGAGACAAAATGCGTGTATTTGATGCAAAGAACGGTTAAACGTATGACCAGGCTGATGCAGTAACCAATAATAGTGAAAAACAGATAACAGAATCAGCTTATGAGATCTCTAATAAAAATATGTAGTTCAGGAACAAGGCGCGGGAAAACTCGCAAAAACTCTGAGAGCAGGTCGTGGCTGGCTCTACCGAAGTTGCATTTTAATTGTCAAAACTTCTGCTAGGTTTTAATGATAAAGGAGCTATTGTGTCTTGATCTTCCTTTTTCCCTATTATTTTAAATACCCTATGTCTATTTGACAGGCTTACAATTCGTTTATCGAGGAGAATGGACGGGAAGAAGTACTACCAGAGCTTAACATGACAAGTCAAGAGCTTTTCTTTATCGGATATGCCCAGGTAAATTGAACAGCACAACTTCCAACTGGATTTCAAAATGTGTTGCAGACTGAGTGAATTTCATTTGCTTTCCTACTCAACAAATAGATTCCATGCTGCCGTGCGTCTGTTTAATAATAAATCACGGATGACTTCAAAATGTGGTGAGAACAAACACCTGATGTTCTTTCGAAATTTTTCCCCTGCAGAAAGAGTGTACGCGCACCACTCCAGCCGCCGAATTCTTGTCAGTAACGGAAGATGTTCACGCCCTAACCAAGTACAGGTAATACTGGAGGTTCCTTTCCTTTCTCTGAGAAACACAGAAGCGTAATGAATGGTTAGCGTTTGTATTAGACCCCGCGTCAATAGATTCAGAACCTACCTCTAACCGAAGTTATTGCGTTGTGTTGTGGACGAGGTACTTTTTCAGTGCTTTTGCACATCTCAGGAGTATCAATGGTTAGTAACTACCACACAGGAAAATAGTACTTTTCGCGAGCGCTGATTGGCTAATTCGGAAGTGATTAGCAAGTACTATTCATCTTAGAGAAGCTGAAGAGACAAAACTCGCCCTTCAAGAGTTTAATTTCCGAACAATTTTCGGTATATTGACAGAAATAAACTGAAAGTTTTGGTTTCTGCGTGGTATGCACGTCCTCTTTCTCAGCTTTAGGGAATGTGGGGGCCTTTTGAATAAAAGCCTGAATAAGGAAATACAGCACGTTCGCCGTAAAGGGCACAAAAATGAAGAAAGGATTTGTCCTATGAAATTTTTCCTCAGCATTATTTCTTAACGCAATGTTATTGGTTTTATTCTTAGGGTTATTGGTACCTTATCAAATTTTAAGGAGTTCTCTAATGTTTTCAAGTGTAAAGCGGGATCATATATGAACCCAAAGAAGAAATGTGAAGTTTGGTAGACGCACGACATACGGAGGTCATATGGACAAGTGCTCTTGCATAATTGTTGAATTTGCTATTATTTTTCCCATACACCGTTTGCAATTTTTGGGGTTTATTTTCGAGTTCTTCTGTTTTCAGTTGACAGTCTTACAGTCGAGTATTGTATTGAAAAAAAATGTCGTACGCCGACATATTTACTCCAACCGATCACAAGCAACACGCTATGAGATACGGTGTTGTCTCAAGTAACCAATCGAAGTAAATGCAACCAGCAAAAGTATCGAAAAAGTGTATGTTCAGTTCACTGCTTTCCTGCGAGTCGTGCGTTTGTACTTTAGCGGTTTGATTAAGTCTTAGAATTTTTACCCTCGTCAGTGATTACCGCACTTTGGTTTACAGTTTACGCCCTACACTACGTAGGTCTTAGAGGCCGGTGATGTTCTTCTTCACCAGCGACTTTCCTGGAAGTCACAATCGAGGGACTGAAACCGTTGCGTCAGTCACCCTGTAATGTTCGTGGTGGGCGATTACTCATGTTTTATTCTTGTTAAGAACAAGACATATATATGGGTAGTTAGCGCATTAATTTTAACCGCATTCAAAGTTGAAGATTTGCCATATGAATTTGTTATAATTTTCTGTACTAACCTATAGACACCAAATGAAGGAATAAAGATTGAAAATCCCACCTTTGTCCTGTATGCAATCGTGATTCTGGTGCCCAGAATTAGGGGATATGAGAACGAAAGTTAGGCCCTCATTATTATGCGGAGAACTCTCCGCCTACCTCGCGCGTTCATTATCGCTAGTTGGCTCGAAACACGCGGGCTTCGCGGCTCGTATCGCGGGTGCTTAAACGGACCACGCTTGATCATTGCTCCAGTCTTGAGTACTAAATAATTGTTCCCTAAGCGCGCGTCGGATATGAGATGGTAAACAGCCAACTAGGCGCGTAGGGCCAAGTTGGCAGTAACCAATCTCCTATCCAACAAGCACGAATGGAATGATTGTCTTATTGAATTTTATCAAGTCCTGAACGTTCGGAATATTCGAAGCTTTTATCAGCTTTGCAACAGCGGGCGCAATGCATTTCTACATGAGGTTACTCGGAATATGAGCTGATAACTGGAGTGGAGTGTACCAATTATGATACTAGAAATGCAATATTCGGAGTTGAACATTTAATAATGACTTTTGGATAAATAAACGTAAGGAAATTGAGAAATAAAAAAATCGTGATAGCCGCCTGGGTGTTAGCATTTTTAAATGTAACCTATATAAAAAGGTCGATTGACTCGAGACTATCCTATTAATTACTGCTAGTCTGTTTTAAATCATTTTTTGAAGCGGTCTTGGAAACAAGCTTAAACCTGAGTTATCACCTATAAAAACCATGCGCGCACGTGCTGTGAAATGCAAGACGATCTCTAAAGCCGCTTTCGAATATTACGAAGGCCATCATAATATTTTCATAGGAGAAGGCATTTCGATCTCCTTGTTTTTTTAAGGTGCTTGAGAAAACTCTTGATGTTGACATAAATTTTTTTCCGTTGCCATCTGTTCTGTCTTTGTTGGCCGGTGTTGCTTCTGCAGAGATTTACGTAGACGAACTAGCATTCCCATCGAGGTTACACCGAGCGAATATCGACTGAATAAATTATCTTTCGGAATTACAGTAATGGTTTCCTGTTGGTAAGGCCAGAGGCACACAAGCGAAGGCGAATTGAAATATCGAGCGGTAAATTATAGATGGAATGTCAGAATACGAAAATACTATGAGGCAAGACATAACGACAACATGTACAATTTTCCAAACGAAGCTGGTCGACCGGTCTCTGTTGCTTCGCCGAGCAGTGCAAGAGGCAAATTGAAGAGAGAAAGCGGTTACTATGCAGAAAGTTGGTCGTCTTCACCTTTGACAAGAGAGACACTCAAGCGAAATGCGGAAGAAGGCAACAAGAGAGAGGTAATTAAACGAATATCTTTCGTTCTTTCTTCTTCTCTGAAAAGATCACAATTCTTGTTTAGTGCGTGAACTCTTTGCTAAAACCGTTTCCTGCGGAGCTTTTGTTTCCACGGTGGTTGAACATTTGTCGAATCATGTATACTTGTGTACGTGTACATATCTTATAAAATGCTACAGTTTTTATGCCGAATAATTCTCGCATATTCTTTATACAAATTCAGAGCTAGTTTTTACTGAGGAAATGAAGTCTTCTTCAATACCTAACCACTTCTTAATTAGAGAAAAAGCCGATATCAGTAGTTTAAAATTATATTTCGAAGGCTACTTGCAATGCAATTAATGGAATGACAGATTTCTTTGGCAAGTATGCTCTCCTGGAAAATCGAATGGAATGAAAACAGATTAGTGTTGACGTTCTCGGCTGTGTTAAAACTTTTGCTAACTGCTGTGTGCGTTTGTTGATTCTCTGTAACGCGATCTAGTGTTAAATTATTTGGAATTTTATAATTTGCCTGCCTCGAAGTTTCTGTGTCAATAATTTCACTTGCTCGGAAAATGAAATTTTTCTGTAAATGTATCACTTTTCGCTCAGAACATCGCTATGACTAAAGGCTTTCCTGATCTTCAATCTATTCTTCAGATTACCGATAAACTTCGTTTGAGTACACGTTACGCATTCTGTGATATTTATACACTTATAATTGAGAATCCAGACAAGTGTCTAAAACGGTATTAAAAGTAGCAGATATGAAAAGTTTCTTTTCTGATTTTGCACAGAAATGTGAGATAAAATTTTAGATGGAAAATTTAATTTAATTAAAAGACAGGAAACAGCGGGGGAGCCGTTTTCAAAATTGTGGCGGTCGTGTTATTGTCTACTGTCAACTCCATGTGACATTATTAAGGTTAATGTAAACAAAACTGAAGATCAGAAGTACTAAATGAAGTGTTTGTCAAGCCATATATGCAAATTTTACTTGATGAGATATGTATACCTATATAACTGAATTAAGTTGTCAGGAATTCACGTCTAGTTTAATTCTGTAATCTCCTGAATGATGTATTCTAGAAAACGAAAACTGTGGATACTTGGAGACTTTGAAATTCATAAATAATTGACGTTCGTAAATGAACCCAAACCCAGCTCTAGTTAATTTTTTTTTCATTCCAGCTGCAAACATTATTAATATTTTAATGCCATTTTATCCTGTAACAAGAACTATTACTTCAAAACTAAAAAAAGCATCACAATTGTGTAAGTTCTTATTGTTCGATACTTTTTCAATTGAGTGTTCAAATGCATAGTATCTATATTAACTAAATATAATAACAACTAACTAAATTCTATATGCTACTCCTCAAAGTTCTTGATAACTAAATGCCTTGTGTTTGGACAAGTCAAGTGAAAGTTGTCACAATTGATAAATCCCTTTTCTTTACTCAAGTATGTTCACAAACCTTCAACCTAAGTGTTGTTATACAGAGGAACTCAAACCTTGTTTGAAGTATTACTGGCTCTATAGAAACTACAGATCATAGACTCAGCAAGAGCATGAGAGATTGTGAGACATAATCAGACATAGAACTTGAAATTGAAGTTATATTCACATTTAAATCAATACAGTCAAACCTGTATTAGATGGTCAATCACCAGGAATGGGGTGTGAATGGGGGAGGGGGGGTGATCACTTGATATAGGTTCCATAGAATAGGGGTAATATAAAAAATGATTAAAAAAAGGGTTATTTTATGCTATAATTAACCACTTCATGTACAAAAACTTGTTTAACCTTTTAATTCCCAGAAAGGATTAACATGTGACTTCCCCCTATAATATCCTCTGCTCATCCAACAAACAGGTTGTAAGAAAACTCAAACTTATCCGTTTAAAGTTGTTATCTTAATCTAACACCAAATTCTTGATACTAATTTACAAAGAAATGTTTAGCAGCTAGAGGGGAGAATCAACAATCAGATCTTGGAAGTTAAAGGGCTGATGATACCACTAACATTGATTTTGGGAGAGAAACAGGGATTACTTTTATTTGAAATATTATTCTGTGCTTTATTTTCATGAGTGGTTCTGGTTTTAGTGACTGTTCAATACATATAGTGGAAGACAATATAAATAGGCTGTTGGACCTTATTCAAAGGTGACCATATCTGCCTAACCCTTTACCCCTTAACATCAGTATGCATATTCTCCATACTGTTCTTTATACATTTCCCAAGGTGCTGACCAGGAGAATTTGTTTAATAATCAAAAGCTTCTTTCGTTAATGATCATTCTCTTTATTCTCATAACCTTAACGTGTGATTTAGTGGTGATATTGTAAGGAGAAATTACATGCTAGTCACTCTAAGGGGAAACAAATTCGCGACTTTGATAACGACCGCCTAGAACAGGGTGACCGTTTAAAATGGTGCCACTTATTACAAGTTTAACTTTAGTTCATTTGTTGATCTGCTGATGAAATACAAGATAAGAAATTATCCTTGCTTTGTTAGTTGCAAAGGAAGAAATAGCAGAATGAAAACCTGAAAAAATTCAGCTTGTATCTGGAAGGAACAGGCTCCAATCCTGCTAAAACCAGAAGTTTTTCAAGTTCCTTTTCTGAAATTCTTTACTATTGCTGCTTACTTGCAAGGATCACTTCTCTACTTGTAAAGTAAATATATGTTTAGGAAGTTTTGCACTTGCAGTGGAATGAAAACTCACCACAATTCCAAAGCAGTAAGCAGGTTTTTTATTTTAACCAGAAATCCAGTAATAGCAAGCTGTCAACATCTTTTCTTTTCAGTCATTTTCTCTGGCAATGAGACCTGAGTGTTTAAATTTTTGGTTAGAATGGTAGCAGTCATCATTATAAGACTTTATTTTTCATCAGTGATCTCTTTTTTGTATGTCTCAGTAACTGTCAAGAGTTAAAAATATTACTTTTGCAAAATCAAGTTGGCTTTTCCTTTAAGATCTTGCTGCTTTTCTTAAATTTTATTATAGTGGATGCAATTTTTGTCTCCCCCAATCTCTATATTTTACTCTCAATGGGTCTAAACCCTTAATGTTCTAAATCATACACAATATTTTCTTATTACAATTTCAATACCTACATGTATTACCTGTCAGAGGTGTCGTCTTGATAGGATTTTAAATTCTCCGCATTAACTTTGACAGAATGTTTATATACCAGGACCCAGTTTTTCATAGGGTGAACAATGCTATCCTATGGATAAATTGTTATAGACAGGAGAGAGATTTATTCAGTGTATAGGGTCGTACACCATTCGAACAACCAGGGCCAGTATGGAAATTTACAACCAGATATTGGTTAGTTACAGAGTTAGGGGTTGTGGGGTGTGAATGAAAAAAGAGAACTCTTTGTTGTCTCCCATCCCTACTAAGACACACTCCTGTCCCTGCTAATTATTCAGTATCTGTGTGTCAATTTTTTTTTTTTTTCATGAACTATGTGCCACATTATTCAGCTGATATCCTATAATGGACTTGTTCCATTTAGCTCATGCCATGTTCTATTTGAAAGGGATTAACTGCAATATCAACAATGCGGAAGGGGTTTTGTGTGGCATTCAAATGTGTGAATGTTTCTGTTGTCACGGCCCTTGTTAAATTTATTATGGAGATTTTAAGAAAATTATTCTATTTAAATTTTAATGTACAGGGAATTAGTTTACATAAGGTTCTAACTGTAATTGACTTTTTAATTTCTGTGAAGTTGTGATCTTAATTGGAAAATCTATCTTCTGTCACTTTCCAATTGTAGTGGTGCATCCTTTCTCTTGTGGGTTTTCTTTTTGTGGTTTGAATGTCTTTTTCATTCCTTCAATATCCATTATTGTTATGCAAAATTTATTCTTCTTGAGGCAGTCAACCAAAACAGAAGCCCTGTATAGGAGTCGAACTTAAGTTTCATTTTTTTGTTTGATTCCTTTGTAGTATTTCATTTTAAGTAGATATCTCTTGATTTGAAATGTTTTAAACATAATTTGAATCCAGTGACAACAAGATTCTTTGTGAGTTTGTCAAGATGCCTAACATACTGCCTAACATTATAGTTTTCTTACGTGGATTTCATAATGGTGAACAGAATGCGTCGTGATCCCTGTGTAAACAAAAAACAAAATGTCTGACAAGGAGAAAAATCAATCTGAAGATCTATTCACGGTAAACATTTTTTAAGTTGTTATGTTATTTTGCAGGTGTCTATTACTTTTTAGGGGTATTCTAAAATATTATTCTCTGTCTTATTGTGTCACTTAACAGGAGCAATACGTTGCGTGGGTGAATTCACAGCTTAAGAAAAGAGCTGGGAACCGTTGTGTTCGTGAAATCCCACGGGATACAAGAGATGGTGTCGCTTTGGTTCAGCTTGTGGAAGTGCTGGGTGAGGTTTAGTTCTTTTTAACATTCTTTTTTTTAAGTTAACTTGGATTTTCATGCATACAGCTTAGTTTCACACACTCCATTGCACTGAAGTGTTAGAATACTGTGATACCTCAGGTTTCTGGTGCAAATATTGACACTGCTTCTAACAAGTGTCACCTCAACTTAATTAAAGACTAAACTGTATGCATCCTTATGTGCTTAAAGTTGAAGCCTTAGCTAATCTTATTATAAGTGAAAATTAGTGGTCTGGATCCAGTTTCTCTGAAAGGACTTTGATATTCTTTATTAATGTTGTCTTCTACTGAGTATATGCACATCACATCATTGTGTTTATTATCATTTAGACCATGATATATTAATCAGAAAATAATAATAACATTCATCATTACTATCTTTGCTCTGGTTTGACACTTGGTAACTAATGTTGTTTAGAAATATAGCATAATTATAATTAAATAGTAAACTCAGTTATAATAATTATGTGTCTGTGTTGGCCTAATGTTCTGTCAGTGATAAAAATGACAAAGTTATAAGTTTTAAAGTGTTAGAAGCAATGTTTCATCACTCCTAGACCATCAAATGAGTTCCTAAACTTTTGAAATTTTATTGTCAATGAGACTCTCTAAGTGTATATTCCTTGATTTTGTGAGGAGAATTTTTAAGATCCCTTAAACAGTAAAATACTCCTAGTGGTTCATGAACCTGTGCTTAAGTATTAAATTTAGACAGACTGTGATGCTTGAAGTTCCTTGTGTATTTTTTTTAGCTTTACTGCTTGATTAGCTGTAACGAGTTGGAAAGCAAAGATTCTCAGTCACTTGGCAAGAATCTGAAAACCACTATTTATAATTTGGAAATGTGTTAAAAATGTGCACTTGATAATCCCTCCCATATGTTATTAATATACTGGATTTATAACTCAGCATGCTAAATTAATCTCTCCTGGATTGTCATATTTGTTTTGATTGTCATTATTCCATCTGTAATACAGAATAAATGACCGAATAACTATATGTATTGACATGGGTCTATGCAAGATGTTTTCTATCCTCTCTGTAAAAGAAGCTACTGTGCTTTAACTAATTTTGAATTCAGTTAATAGTTTTAGTGGCCACCATATGAATATATAAATAAATTTTTAGTATGGTCTACTGAGCACAACACCTGAAGAATCTATCTAATGTGTCAACCACATATTTGTTGTAAATGTCACTTAAGCAGGGATAAGAGAGACAAATTATTCATTGCTTATCGGTGCCTTGTATAATTGACTGTTAAATGAATGGTTACACTGAGTGGCAATTATTTCAAATTGTTTGTTTGGGTAGATCTTACAGGCAAAGAATGCAAGGAATTAAAAAAGAATAGTTCAACTTATTATTTCACGCAGTGAATGTAAAAGCTTGCGTTGACAATAATTAATCAGAGTTCTTACTGGCACTTTTTTATGTTGTTGCTCAATAATAAGTGAAATCTAATTTCTTTGTCTGCTTTGTGCAATACACATCAATTTTCACAAGAAATGTGCGGTCAGTGAGTTCACCCATAGGGTGACACTGTGCAACACAAAAGTGCATGGGGTTGACTCTATATGTTGGGACCAATAAAGTTAATCAAGGTTTTTATGTGTCTTTTTTTCTTACTTTTTCAGCTGGTGAAGCTCTGAAGTTTGATGACTCTCCAACAACATATGCAGCTAAAAAAGAGAATGTAGACCAGGTCTTGCAATTCATGGCCTCCCAGAGAATCAAAATGAGACAGATCTCATCAAAAGGTAAGCAAAAGAGTGATAAACAATTTGAAGTCTTTTGCATTCTGGCACTAAATCTATGAATCATTTGGTCAGCATGTTGGCTGAACTAAATTATTATATCAATTCAATTTCAAAATAATTTTATGTAGTTTGAGAAATAGGCACATTAAAATTTTGATGATGTGGTTTTTTCATATTGTTAATGTCAAAAAGGCAGGATTTGAATCTTTCTGTGTTAGGGCAATCACTTCAAGTTTTACCTTCAAAATCTTGAAAATAATTTTTCCTTTTTTTAGAAATTGTGGATGGGAACTTAAAAGCCACAATGAGGCTTGTACTTGCCCTGGCAGCCCACTTCAAACCTGGAAGTGTGAAGCCAAATTCACATCAGGGTGGCTCTCCTTCACATACCAAGCTCACTCGCAGTCCATCTGCTGCAGCGGCTGCTGCTGAGGCTGCTGCTGCTATTGGTGAAGCCAGCAGGAAGGCTGCAAGTGCTGGTCGTCAAATACACATGCCATTCAGGCTCAGGTAATGAAGCTTGTCATCCCAAAGAAAACATAAATTTGGGGATAATGTTTGATTTGACACCAATGTTTGATTTGACACCAAATTCTCAAATCTAAAATTGTAAGAAATTTATGGAGCACTGAGTGCAGAGAATCAATATTTTCATCTTTAGAGTGACAGGATTAATAGAAAACCTGGGGTTAAAGAAAGTTGTCCTATCTGTGGTGTCTTTTACAAGTTTTTCATCTACTTTTTGAACTTTTCTTTTAATTTTCAGAAAAACTCCAAAGAACTTGCCTGTAACACCAAAGACAGAGCGGCCTCCTATTGATGCTAGTCCAGGAAGCAGCCCTTTACTTTCTGCATCACCCCTTAATACACCATTAAACAGAACTCCTGTTCGCAAGATAAGTAGGCCATCAAGTGCAGAATCTAGACATGACAAAGACAATGGGTCAGATGGCTCCAATGTTAGCAGTGGTGCTACCACACCCAGACTACAACACAGAGACCTTGCAGCACTTCAGTCCATGTCTGATTCTGAGTCGATTTTATCAAAGGATCTGTCAAGAAATAGTCATTCCAGTACCTTTCCAAATTTAGAGTTTCTGCAAGAAGTAACTGAAGGGTTGGAAAACATGGAAGATGAAACAAACACTGTAAAGGAAACTCTGTTACATCTGCAGAACTTGGTGAGTTTGTTTTGTTACTGTGGTCCAATGCAGGGCCAATATTTTTTGTTGTTTGAGAAAAAAAAAATTAGGGAAATTGCTATATAATTTAACCATGCTTTTGAGTACCATATATAAAACTTCTGGCAGTCAACCCAATGAGAGTTACTAGCATCTAATTTCTCATTATAATATTACCCTTAAGTCACACAATGAGGTCATGAGAATTAAGGAAATGATCATTACTGAAAGAAGCTCTTGATTGTTGAACAAATTCTCCTTGTCAGCACATTAGGAAATGTAGAGACAACTGTATAAAGAATATGCATGCTGATGTTAAGGTATAAAGAGTCAACTGTTCCACTCCTGGGAGTGAAAGGGTGAAGAGCAGAAACTCCCATAACTACTTTGAAAAACGAGAGACCAAAATTTCGTGGTAGAAAATTCATGATGGAAAAAACACACAAAAAACAAGAATTTAGAATTGTCCAAAAATTCCTAATAATTCCATTGTGACATCAAATTTAGAGTTATTTTAAAGACCAATGATCCCCATTTGCTACCATTTCCCAACTCTTTTAGACACATTAAAGACTGGAGAACAATTTTTTTGGTTATTTTACAGTTGCTGGATGGCAGAGTGGAGGAGGATGAGATTCCTGAAGAGTACTGTGGCCTTGAGGGTTCAACAGTGCAAGAGCAACTGACGATTGTGAGCAGTCGACTTGATCAAAGAGAAGCTGAATATGACAGCCTAAAAACAGAACTTAACAAGTCTAAAGAAGAGTGTATTAACTTACAAGGTGTGTGCTAATTTTGTGTGTAAGTGCAAGAGACCTTTTGTGTATACAGTGATTAACTTGATACTTCAAAGCTGTGACATCAGCCTATTAGGTTGCTTATTGGCAACTGAAGTCAAACACTGGCTAGAACTCTTGAGAAAATTTAAAATTATTGTAATAGGACTGAGTGGAATCCAATTCAGTTTGTAATCATGCAAGTGATTAACAAAATTGGACAACTGTGAAGCAGGAGTCTGATTTGTTTTTCGCAAGTCTGATTCCAAACAGAATTGGACAACATGAAGTACTGTTACTGATTAATCAAAACTATGACAAAATTTGAGAAAGAAACTAGACATAAGTTGTACGTTTTCATAAAAAATCAACAGTCGACTCAACAAAATACTATACAACATCACGCACTCATGACGCGTTCTGTCCACTTACATGGGCATGATGTATTACCTGTCCCTTTAACTGTCCTATAACACTGTCCAATTAAAAGCATGAAGCGTATGCTGTCCTAGTGCTCAAATTGGGCTGGTGATAACCAATCACATTCGAGAATTTTGTTATAGTTTTGATTAACTCTTCTACATTTGATAGTGCAGTAGTGAAAAGTGATGAACACCATCCTTTTTAAGTTTGGGTTTACTTCTGTTTGTAGAGTTGTGTTTGGTTATAAAGTTGGCACTTAGTTGATTAGTTGATTTTTATCCTCAGTCCAAAGATTTCCCCATTGGTTTCAACATTTTTCTTTTCTCCTTTTTTTTCTACTCTGAAGTGTGGAGGAAAATTCTCTTCATAAAATTTGCTTCTGCTAGAATCTAACAATTAATCATTGATTTAATAAAAATATGTTTACTTACTATTTTATTAGGTATTAAGTCAGGACTGCAGTCAAGACTCAACCAGCAGGAACAAAGCATAATGCAGCTACAGTCAGATTCTTTAAAGCATGAATTAGCACAGCAGAAACACGAGTCAGATGTAGCACAGTTAAAGTGGCAGCTTGCTGAGCGGGACAAAGAGGTGTCTGCCCTTAGAAATGAACTGGTACGAAGAGAGAAAACTGTTGATAAACAGAGAATGGAACTTGAGGATGCTATGAGGCACATTGAAGAACTTCAATATGCACAGGTTTGGGATAATATTAACCCTTTAATTTTCAAAAGCAATCAATGTGTGACTTTGCCACAATGTATACATGTGACAAATTGTTGAGTTTGAAAATGAAAAAAATTAAACCAATTTATTAACTGTAGGATGTTGAACCAGACTACAGGGAAGAGGATGACATCTACAGCATATGTATGACCCACACAGTCACATTATTTAACCTCCAATCAACCACAGATCAGTTTGATTTTCAGATTTAAATTTAGAATTTTGCCATTGGAAACAACTCTTTGACAAAAGAAGCTCTGGAAAAATTATGAATTGAAGGGTGGTCACTTTCTAGCTGCTGGTATTAATATCCTACCAAAGTAGCTGGATATATTTTTTCTATTTTGAAGGGTTGTTTTAATAAATGGTGTATTGTTAGTATCAGTTATATTGAAAGTGATATGTTTTGTATTACAGGCAGGTACAGGAAGAAAAGCAGATGATCACTTAATAATTGAATTGCAACAAAGGATCAGAGATCTTCAGGATAAGCTTGATTCTGTTGGTGTGTATGAGGTAAGAAACTTATAACATTTCATATCACTGTTAGATGGAGGGTCTACACTTGTGTTTAAATCTGATAGTCATGTGCATGATACTGGTATTTTCTTGGTGTAATGCTACTGCATTTAGTAGATTTTTAGCATTATTTCAAATGTGGGATTTTCTCAAAGGTGGTTGTTTATTTTGAAATCATATTTCTTAACTCACTGATGATAAATGTGGTGAATCATTAGTGAATATTAGGTGAAGCAGAAACTTGGGTTATTTTGCAGAACAAATCCCTGAAAAAACCTGTGTCTGTTGGCTAATTGCCAGTACCTTATTTTGCATATATTTTTTTCCAGAAAAGGGCATACTGATTTCAAAGGGTTTGATACAGAAAATACAAAGACCACTTTTACTTCACTCAATTAATTTGGAGTGTCTCTCATCATCTCTTTGAATGATTCTAGGCCACCCTCTCAGCTCGAATTGCCACACAGGATGAAAAGATGGCATCACTAGAGAACCAGATTTTGAATCCTCGTGAAGCAGTTGCTTCTCATGGACTGAAGGTGAGCTTGGATAATGTTTGCCAACTGCATTCTGTTCACTTAAACAATCATTTATAAGACAAGAAACAGTTTACTCTACTTGTGATTAGGGATGCAATTTTACATCTGATGATGAAAGATTGATGTCCTTTTATTTTGTTGGCAGAGATCAGAGGAATTGGAGGTGGTGCGTGAAGCTATCGAAAGTCTTCGAAGCTGTTTCAGACCACATGATCCACATCACCACACCCTAGATACATTAGAACAGGTGCTTGTCAGAACTTTTCTTTCTGTAACATCCTTTCTGTTGCTCATGTTAGAGCTATGGAGAATACACTTTATAAATTTATTATCACAATTATTTCAAATTTTTTGTTGTTTATCCTCAAAATAATGTATAAGTGTCAGTGTACTTTGCAACTCTGTGGTAATAGGAGAAAAAGAGGAACACAAACAATATTAGCTGAGGGAAAAAAATGGTAAAAATTTCATCTTTGTGTGCTAATTGGTCAGTTTCAAATTGTGTTGGGGGAGTTGGAAATGAGGCTTTTGATAAAAAAATCTAGGTGAGTGTCGAAGGAGATAACTTGAATGTAGAACTTTCAGGTTTCAAAACCCAGCATAAGATACTTGACTACTCTACCTAAATTCATGCAGTTAAGTATTTGTCTTTTGGGTTTAGGAAGCTGATTTGTGTGGATAAATTAAGCTGATTGTTTGGATTTTTCTTTGGCTATGAGTACAAGGATTTGGTAGATGTGGAGATGTGTGTTGCTAAATGTAGTTAGTCTTCTGGGGAGAGAATGGGTACCACATGTCTACCCTCAGCCTGCAGCATGAAACTCCAGAACAGTTATTTTATTGTATCAAAACAATCTCATAGTCAAAGAATGTTTTGGGCTTGCATTTATTTACTATAGATATTTTTGTTTATCTGATAAGTTTTCCTTTTGTTTCCAGAGTGTAATTGCGGTTCACTCTTCAGACCAACAAACTCACTCCTTCAATTCTGAAACTGAAAATGCATCAATTAACTCCAAGGTAAATATACTCCACTAGTTGAAAGCATTTGTATTTGACATAATCGTCAGAGTTTTGAGAATTTGTTTCTCTTTTTCAGGGGGTGAATGGATTTGAACACAGCAATGGATACAATGGCAAATCACTTTCACATCACCGGCAGCTAGGTATGTGATTTCATTTAACAATCATTACCAGGGGTCTCATTAACTTTTTGCAGTATACATGGCTGCCGATAGTGTAGAAGGTGGCTGAGCTAGGAAAAGGGGCTGTAAGGTGAAACCCTAACTTAAAATACCTGCTTGCAGGCAATACAGGGTTTTCCTGGAAAACCAGGAAAGTCCTTGAGATTTATTTTGACATCTTCTACGACTAAAAAGTCCTGGAAATCTGCCTAACTCAAGCAGTAAAGTTTTAGGAATTAATGTGATAAGAAATGTATCAAGTACCTTTTATAACTACTTTAAATTGTTTGGAATTCTTGAAAATTCATTAGGTAAGAGGATTGCTCAACCAATTTGAAAATTTATTTTACCTGTCATGCCCACAATAACAGAGAACACTGAACCTAGAACCTATTTAAGAGCACTTTTCTTTTTTTAATTTCTTATTTCTGATCTTTGGGGCATAGTGTTAGGGTATGTCTGATTTTTACAATTTTCTCTTAAACAGTTATGTAATATAATGTAAACATTTTTTTAATCTATTAGAGAGTAATGAGAGAGTTCAAGCATCAGGAATCAGCACCAAAGTGTTGTATTTTACAGAGAAAAGTGTCACTCCTTTCCTTACATCAATACCTAGAAGGTTAGTCACATGTTCAACTTTGTAATTCTTGATGGAATTTAATTAAATTGTGAGAAATTGCCAAACATGTTTGTATTAAAAATAAATTGAAAATTTAAACTTAATCAAGGAACAGTTGGTAAAACTGAAATTATCTTTCAGTATGATAGGTTAACAAATTCATGCTTTGTCATCATTTGCATCAATTAGATGTGTTCTTTTTCTCAAGAGGTTCTGTGACATCAGTTTCCCTAGAAATTTTGTTTCTTTTCAGACTCGGAGAAATAACTTTAGGAGACTTCAAGGAAGCCATTGACAGACCTGGAATGTTCCGTTATCACTTTAAAGCCTTAGATCCTGAGTTTGGAACAGTTAAAGAAGAGGTATGTAAAGGGTTATTAATACTATGATCCAAAGGTGGGATAACTGACCAAAGTTTGTGATATATTTGCAGTATGAAGCTAGCACGAAGGGGGTTAGTTTCTAAAAAAACTGTGGTGCTATGTCGGAGGGGTATTACAAGTTAATTTGGTTATTATCAGCTGAGTTCTTAATGTATTACTTAATAATCCAAAAAGCTGAATGTTTTGTGGGTTAGCTTCATTTTGAGTGTTTACTCAAGGCTCAGGTTAACATTCAAAATGTCAGCCTTAGAAAGTCTTCACAGTGGCCAATTTACATTAATTTATTAACTCAATTGATGACCCCAAATTGTCATGAAGCTGGCATAGTCTATCTTGTAGCCATAACTGGTGCTTGCTGATTGTCATGTGAAGAAAAATTAAAGACCAGCAGCACTTTATAGACAGTAGATGCCTTAAACTTATGGCAACCAGATACAGGGTGTGGTTATGTAATACTGGAATAAATTCATAAATTTCACCTTAACCTCCACTTCTTCCTCTGTGGCAGGTGATAGATGATGGAGACATAGTACCAGGTTGGGAAGGAAAAATTGTTGGCTGGGTTGAGGATGATACAGGACAAAAAGCTCTTTCTGGCTACCAAGACCAAATGACGTGACACAACAATGCATTGAAGAAGACTAGATTAACTGTTATTAATAATATTGTGTACATCAATTTCAAATACGATTAGGACCTTCAGCTGAGTTCCTGAAGCTGTCAACTTTAAAGTGTATCTGTAAATTGTAGCTTTGTTATACTTTCAGTGCAACTATTTGCTAATTAAGCATTGTAAATTGAAAAGTGAGCCCTAAAGATGGGCCCTTTTCTGCATGAGCTCTGCCATAGAGGTTGAAACTGAACCCTTTCTCTTATTTAAGAATTCCTTGTTTGGCTCTTTTTCTGTCAGTCATATTAAGTGCCTTATTGATGTACTGGTAAATGTAGAGACCTCATAAAGAAGGAAATTGTACCTACTTCTTTCATAAAACAGTAAAAATGTTTATGCCTCATATTAGTTGACAAATGAATATATTTAGTGGTTGTCCATAAATGGCAGATATTTTGTCTACACGAAATACTCCGGTATTGTGTGATGACTTTAAAATAATTATTGAATTTGCTTATTGTTTGGGTGAAAAGCTTGGCTTTTACAGGGTACAGATATGAATGTGCTACAACAACTCAGTCATCAGATGGGAGATTATATTGTTATTATGAATAGTTATCTGTAGATATCACTTCAAATATGCATACATGTGAAAGAGGTGTAAAGAAATCATGATATTTTTTATTTCAAGTTTGACCGGAACATATACACATCTGCACTTAAATTTAAACCAAAGCCTTTCTGTGGGGAAGTTGTGAAGTTTTAGATCTAGCCTACTCCAGGCATTCAGTTAGTGAAACAGAGCAAAATAGCATAATGGTAATGGAGGAGTGAAAAAGTGAGTGGGGTTTGGGTCAAGTTGGGTAAAGAATGTGACCGGACCCAGACCTCCCTCTCCTTTTCACTCATCTGCCATCATACTATACTGCTGTTTACTGTTACACTTTGTTTTACCAAATGAATATTTGGAACAGGCTATTTCAGATCCAGTTAGAGTAAAAGAAATTACAGTTTGGCCTTGCAAATGGAGAATTACAATTAAGCAATGTTGTTTCTTTTGCATAGTGGCACAATATTACTAGTTGTGGCAAAGTTTGAATTGTAGAGATTAGATGTTTAGATAAGCTTCTCACAAAAAATATGTAAATATTTATTGTCTAAAGGAAATACAGAGGATGTAAAAAAAGTGTGGTTGGGATTACCCTGTTTATACCCTTAACCCTTTACAGCCTAAGATCAGTATCCAAGTTCCCTATACTGTTCTCCATACATTTCTAAGGGTACAGACAAGGAGAATTTGTCTTGCAATCAAGAGCTCATTGAGTTTCTTGATCATTTCCTTTATTCCCGTGACCTCTATGTTTGATTTAGGGGTAATACTGTGGAGAGAAATTAGAAGTTTATCACTCTTAGAAATGAAATGACCTGAAGACAAATTAAAATGAAATCATTCAGCTGAATTTTTAAGTTGTGGGGAGGCAACTGTGTGATGTAAAAGTTTGAAGTGTTTGGTATAAAAGGTCTAGCTTTTCAGAAATTGTTATGTTGGATTAGCCAAACATTAAGTTAAACACACCAACTGGTAAGTGTACATTTAAGTAATACTCTGCACACGGAATATTTGTGGTGAAGACTCTTTTTTTTTTAAGCTTAAAACCATCTTCAATTTAAACTTCGAGTATGCCCACTTTCTAATGTAATCCTATGATAAATTTAACAGAAAAGTAGAAAATGTCTTCTGTTCACAACAAACGTATTCCAACTACACATTCCAACTGTTTAGTGAGCTAATCAGGCCCCAAAATGCAAAACAAGTTTTGCAAATTAATAAATTAAGACAATTGAAACCATTAGAGTATTAAAATTAAATAAACTTTTTTTTTGTTATAAGTAATCTTTACAGTGACCAACATTCCCAGTAAAAGACCATACAGTTTTCAAACCAAGAAATCAAGAAAGTTTAACCATGAATTGGAATTCATTGATTGCTATGCCATAATTAATGTTCAACCTGGTTTTCACATGGCTTCAATCATGTAAAGGACAGGAGGCTAGTGAGTCGGCTTTCATTGCAACAGCAGACAATCAGCCAGTTTGCAGGAGAAAAGCAAGTGAGGGGCCTGGAACAAATTGATCAGCTTGCAAGCCAATTTCTTGTAGCTTGGTAACTTATAACCCAGTGCCGATGAGAGCCAGTGATTTGCCTAACCTACCCCCAAGGGGATCAGTAATCCCGATCCAGAGCATCCTATTCGAAATACAGGCAGACTTGACAGGTGTATTTTAGCACTCCCTGCTCCCTTCGCAAAGGAAACTGGCACTTTATTGCCTAGAGACATGCAGGGTGCACCAACTGTAAGGGAAACAAACTGTAAGAGACTGGGAAAACCTTCCTCTTGTATCTGCTCAAATATCTTGCATGTTTGAACAAAAGTCACTCTGGCAGTATCTCATAGCCTGCTTTGCTTGCTGAGCAAAAAGAGAGATTGCAAATTTGCCAAGTTGTTATTTATAAATGTTTCCTTTATCCTATCTGAATGGTCAATAAGGGATCTGGTCCTACTGTAAAGGAAAATTCTGAGTCATTGATTCTTTGAAAATTCCAAGCGTGGCTTTATAAATACATTTACAAAACACAATTTCAAGTGTTAACACTTCAATATACACAACTAACAATATTATTTTACACTGATTTATCTATTGTAAAAGATAAAATTATAATTAATTTGTATCCCAAAAGCATTGTCGCCTTTCCCCAACATAAAAGTCAAATTCATAGCATTTTCCACAAGTTTTGATTCCACAGCGGTATTCTGTTAGTTGTCCATTGTCATCTTCCCCCTGGCAGAGTTTCAAGTGACATGGATACCAACTTAGACATACTTCAACTCTACAGATGCACTCTGCACTCAGTTCTGGTGTATTTTTACATGGCTTTAGCACCTTTGAAAAGCCAGTTTGATCTTGTGATGCCAACTCAAGTTTATCAAGATCTTCTAGGGTTGAATTTCCTATTCAAAGATAGTGATAATAGTTTAAGTGAGTATCCTACCAGTATGGGGTTGTAAAAGAAAAGAAAAGAAAACTGTGAGCCCTCCTCCTTCCAGTTCAGTTTTGAGCAACTAGTAGATTCAAATTTAAAAAAAATTTGATTGTATGTAAGATAATTTGCTTTTACCAGTATGGGGTTGTAAAAGAAAAGAAAAGAAAACTGTGAGCCCTCCTTCTAGTTCAGTTTTGAGCAACTAGTAGATTCAAATTTAAAAAAATTTGATTGTATGTAAGATAATTTGCTTTTAACCCTTTAACTCCCATGAGTGACTGAGACAGAATTTCTCCCTACAATATCAATACAATATCAACCAGATAAGTGATGAGAGTTAAGAAAAATATCAATTTGGGGATAATTAGTTGATCCAATACTAAATTCTCTGAACTAACATTATAAGAATTGTATGGTTGACTGTAAAGAGAATTACAAATTTGACCTGGGAGTTACAGGGTTAACGAATGAGTTGATAATATAAATTGGCCATCACAAACACTTTCAAAAGTTGAAGTTTCAAGCATTAATCCTTTGTCAGAATGAATGGGAAAGACTCTGGTGAAGGGCTTAAGCTCAACACATCAGCTTTAGAAACTCTTTACAAAGGCCAATTTACTTAAAAACCAATTTGTCCTGCCTAACCCCCTTTATTAACTATCACATAATAGAAATCTAAAGTTCATTACCTAATTGGTAAATAGATAATTTTTCTGTTAAATAACCATTCACCCTTACAGATCAGATTCATTTAGAAAGTCCCACTTCTAGCTGTGTTTCACTTCCTCTGTAAATTATTCTCATGGAGTTTTGTGGAATATGAAAAAATTGTATTCTACCTCAAAAGTTAGCCTTTTCTGTATTATTCTGTGCTGATAGTTTGAAGAGAAGTTTAACATCAACTACTTCTGGGCAAACAAGGAGCTTTCAAAATTAGTTTTTCTATAGCCCATACCACTCTGAAATGAGGTTCACGAAATATGTCATGAGCTTATGACAAGAGCAGACTTGAACCTTACACCACATACCTAATAACAGAAGTTTTGTGTTAGTTCCACTAAAGAGCACTTTTCCAGCATCTTTGCATAGCTGACCGATGGTTCCTTCTGTTACATTTGCATCCAGAAAAACCACATGATCCATGATGTGAGATTCACTGGCAACATCCTCTTCAGGAACCCTGATTGTACTTGGGTTTTTCTAAAAAAAAATTCAAAGTGAAGTTTTTAATAAAAAAAATGGCACTCATTAGGATGGCAGTCAGCCTATCCAGTCAGTTCTTACACATTTCAGTAGCATTAAAAACAACATGGATTGTTTCTAATTTCCCAGCCATACTTAAGTCCATTGCGATGTTACCCTCCCTAACAGTTTCCCAAAAGTCATTTTTACTCTCAGGAGAAGAAAGGCACTGAGAGAGAAGTATTTTTCAAGGGTAAATGCCTGGCTGCTACACACAGACTTTAACAGACCAGTAAATACCCAATAAGTATTAAACTTCCAATGGTCACAAATCTCATTTACTACTCAAGAAAACCTAAACAATTCTTGGAATGGTGTAACACTTCAGATAAATGTCTGATTCTTTCAAGGTTTGAGAGAACCTTTCTGAAGAGAGTCAGTGAAAATAGCCCTTTACACCCTAACATCAGTATGCACATTCTCTACAATGTTCTCTATACATTTCTTAAGGGGCTGACAAGGAGAACTGGTTTAATGATCAAGAGCTTCTTAAATTGATGATCATTTCTTGTATTCTCATGACCTTGATGTGTGCTTAGGGGTCAAATACTGTGAGGAGATATTACAGGCTAGTCACTCCAATGGAAAAGGGGTTAAAATCATGCTGCTGTATCCTAACCACAGTTTAAGTGCTATGCCAAGGACCAAAACTCAGAGACCTGGCCGCTGCCTAAAACCAGAAGTTCCAAGGCAGAGATCAGTGCACCAGCCAATACTTTAGGCCCCTTTATCTTCCATATATCATGTATGTATTCTAGCTGCAACAATACAGCCAGGACAAACTAACCCCTGAGTCATGGAATGCTATGATTTTTCAGGAACTGACCTGTCTGAGTTTTGACATAGCATCTGATGATATGAATTCTTCTTCTTTGAGTTCAGCTACAAAGCACATGGCTTCATAAGAACTCTCTGCTTTATCCATTTCTCCAAGGACAATAACTTGAAATATCTTTCGTTTCTATGAGAAAAATAATTTCAAAAATATGAACAGTATTCACGTGGTTGAGACAGTCTAATTTTATTTGTTGAAGTTTCTTTCTTCCTTTTTTGGAGAAATCAGTAAGACATGCTCTACATGCTCCCTGTAAAGATGTCTACAATGTCTCCATGGATATCATAAATTCAGGTAAGAATTCACAAAACTATTATGTCAATTAACAAAAGAACTCTCCAAACTGAAAAATACCCAAACAATTATCTTTCCTCTCATTAACTTAAGTCTAAAATCTCAAGAGCACACAAAATGGAAATCACAGCCATCGGCAGATTGGTTTGAAGCAATTCGACAATTTTCAGTCCCACTAAAGTCAATAAACTTTACGAACCTATAAACGTTTCATGCCGAAAGAACAGATCGGAAAGAAAGAGACCCCTAAATATGCTTTATGAATCATTGTGTACAACACAGTAGAAATGATTTTAAAAACTCTATCATTCTTTGATTCTAATGAACAATGATATTGTATATAGAGCTTAAAAAAATATCTTTAAAAGGGAAGCTTTGACACATACCTGACGGAAGTCGATGTACACTGAAACGAACCTATTCTCGTTACTTTTGTAATCGATGGTAACGAAGTCTTTTTCGGGATCTGCGGAAAAAGTCTGCTGCACTATCTCACCATCCTTTGATTTAATGTTAACAACTAGAGTAAAACTACCGTTTTGGACCAGAAATGCAGGAAAAAGAAGAAACGACAGCCAAAAGTGTGTGATCGCCATTAGGGAGAAATCGCGCAAGCATTGATGACAGAAGAGTGGGACGAGTTCAATATTTCTTCCTCTCAGCACAGGAATACCACTTTCTTGCAATTGCAGCAGTACCAATCTCGAAATCATCCAATCTGACGGTCGCTTCATTGTTCAGCAAGAAAATGAAAACCAGCTTGAATTTGGAAGCTGACAAATTCAGACAAAGTAGAAATAAGGTGAGATTTCATGCTCATAATGGAGACTGGGAAATTCATCTTGTACCTGGGAGACTGCCGGATAATATGTAAGGGTTGACATACTTGCGCTTGATTCTATTAGGTATTCCAGTCAGTTTGCATCTCCCGGACTCCACCTCTCTAGCTCGGGTATCCGCAGTTCTACCGCCCTTCCCAATCTTTACCATGAAATGCATGTCTTTCTATCATGACTTTAACTATTTACTGCAGGGATTGTACAGCTAACTCTTAGCAGATATTGCGAAACGCTTTCCTGTTTCCTGTTGTTTCGCACATTCCAACTTTGCATATGTACTTGAAAAAGCCAACAACAAGTTTACCAATGAAGCAATTAGAAGAGCCAATGGAATTCTGTTGCTCTTTATTGATCATTTTGTCCTGATTTTTTGCTCTTAGTTTTTTATTCTATTCAAACTTTAATCAACGTTTGTTTGTTTGTTTGTTTTTGTCCTGTTTATATTTTTGTTTGTTCTGTCCGAACTTTTTATAACTTGTTTAGGCGTTTTGTTAGCTAAATGGAGCGAAATAATAAACGGTGGCAGTGGCAGAGCGGAAACGAGGGAGGTTTTCACTCCTCCGCTCCACTATAACTGAACCCCTGGAGCAAGATGAATTTTTTAAGTCCCTCTTATTCATTAAAACTATACTAGGGAGATTAAGAAAAGTTCCATTTGAACTGAAAAGCGAAAAAAAAAAAAAAAAAAAAAACCAACGGAAAACTAGAAGCACCACTTCCCTCTGTTAAAACAGAAACACAAATGCAAAATCACTTGCCATAATGGGCTCCTGCTTGCGCTAACTAAGCATATCTTTAAATATATTCATATATGATACGTAATTGTACATTCCTGCATAAATGATTAGGATTTATTTTTGTGACGGGAGTGTTTTGATTCTTTCTGTCCGACCAATCCTTTCACCTTGACCTGTCTGCTATTTTTGGTATCTGTTGTGGTCATTGGTCAATGTCACTATTAAGAATATTCCCAAACGCCCTCGGGGCAAGAGACTCTCTGAAAAATGAAAACCTACTCAAATTCTTTTTTTTCCTACTTTTTGTTTTTCTCTTCAAAAACAGACATTAAATTTGAAAATAGCAACAATACTGGTGAATATACCAAACTATAATCACTGGTGTTGTTTTTATGAAGTTAGCGTGACTTCCGGTCACTGGAACATGCGATCGAGGTACCTCACCAGGAAAGCAACCGATCGGCCGCCCATTGAGAACTACGTACTTGTTATAGTGGCGAGAGAAAATCGTCGCAGTCGCTCGATCTTGATATAATGGAACAAAACGAGGCTCTAGCAGCTAACGAATTAGGAGACCACGTTGGAGATGTTGAAGGTAAACAAATCGAGACGTTACTTTCTTCTCGGTTTTGACGCCTATTTGTCAGTAACGAAGTTAAATCGGTCGATCGTCCCTTTCGATGTAAATTATTTTTAGATTTAACGTCTGGAATCACATGTTTTTATTCAAATTCATATTCTGTGCTCTTCAAAATTACCAGGAAAGGCACTGGGAAATTTCTACCGATACGGCGAATTGGTATGAGCGATAAAAATCAAAAGTATTATTGGAATCGATCGAGATTTGTCTGAAGTTGAAAAAATTTAAGGTTAAATTTAAATGCTCTGAATCTATCCTCTCCTCTTGCGTCTCTGACGAAAATTATTCGTTAAATTTGAGTTGAAAACGCAAATTTATTGAAAAGAAATTAACCGTGAACCGGTTACATTTGCCAGCGCTGCTTGCTCACTTAGGTTATTCATCAAGACCGGGTTAAATTCAAGATTTTTCCTTCGGCAAAGCGATGGATCTTTGTCGTCAAATTTCATGCTTCCTACAGAATTCGTAAAATCCTTTCATTATTCATACGTCTTAGTGACGCTATTTGAGCTATCGTTCCCTAATTCTAATGACATCAAATTTTATCTAAAGAATTATTCTTTTCTTGTCTAAACTCCCTTGAGAAGGGCGATTGTTTTTTTTTCGCTCAACAAGTTACATGTACCGTGAAGAAGTCAAACACACATCTTGACCCACTATTTTCCTAAAATTAAATGTTATTTTCACAAGTGTGTCTCAGGGGTAAGTTAAATAATTGCGATCTGTTTGGCTTAGGAATTAGTTTCGGATAAACTCTCTCAATCGGGCATGTAAGATGTTTACCCGTACATTTCGTGTTATGGACTGTTATTGACATATCTGCTTGAATGGCTACGCCAATAAGATCATTCGTTGGAAGTTCTTGACCGATTTAAACCAATTGCAGCTTGCGTTACATAATAATTCAATAAAATGGCTGACAACCGTGCAGTAGAAGATGGTAGTGAACAAGTCCGAACCGAACGTCCAAATTCTCTCGGATTTCCAATGAAATCCAACGAAACTCCCGAGACTTCTCGCTCAAACGAACATGTTTTCTCTCCAGATTCGGCCAGGCGGCATCGATTTTTCTCTGGACCTTCAAAGTTTGCAGCAGTTGTCGGGCAGGTTGTCGCAGCGAAGAACCACGATGTTTTCCAAACTTTGCAAGAGACATTGGGGGTCCTTCAAGATGAGGCGGAAGTATCAAGGGATTCACACAAAAAAGAGGGTCTTTGGTGTCATCCATTTGAAATTCCTCGCCATCCCATAGAGCAGATTGAAATGAAAAACGAAGAAATTGACTTGGAAAGACAACAGTCCAAGATGATAGAGAGCTTAACTCCAGATGATTTCTCAGAGATAGAGGAAGCCTTGAAGAAAGATAAAGACGATGAGCTAGGCTATGGTGCAGAGCGACTTCCTTTTTATCAAAGGCTGTCTATTTCCGGCGGAGATATAAGCGGGGTATGTAAATATATTTGGACAGTGCACGTGCATGTAGTCTACCAGCTCTAGCCGTAGTTGAGTAACTTTCGGTTTCTAAAGATTTCTACAAATGCCACGAAATAACCGTGGTGAAAGGATATTATGTGAATATTTTAGGGAGGAATTGCATGTTAATCACTCGTGGGAGTCAAAGGATTAACTTGCAGTGCTCTAGCTTCTCGAGGAGTACTTGCTCAACAGCTTCCAACTCATGAATCAGCAATAAAATTTGTTTTGTTTCAGGTGTCCATTGATGAGCTGCAGCAGGCTGCCAAGCTCCTAGTAGAGGCCTTGTTCATCAGATCAAAGTATATGGCCATGAGCATGCAAAGCTTTTGTTCCACAACTGCTCGGAAACTGAAGACTGTGCATGAAGATTTTGATACAGAGGCTCAGTACTTTCACTTAAAGAGACATTCCATTGATGACGATTTAGGTAGGTACTCCCCCAGCTTGGAATGCAAGGTTCCCTCAAGCATTTCGTTAACTTAAAGTTTATTCATGGTCTGCTAGTACCCATATATACTCAAGAGTGTTAAGAGACACTGAGAGAATTATCTGTGTTCTGGCCAATTAATGGTTAACCCTTCAACTCCCAAGATCTGATTGTTAATTCTCCATTCTAGCTGTTGAACTTTTTTCCAGTAAATTAGTTTCAAGAACTTGGTATTGAATCAAGATGACAACGTGTACATGACAATTTTAAGTTTTCATATTACATTTTTTATAGACAATGTATGGAGACTATAGAGAGAAGTTACATGTTGATCACTTTTGGTAGCCAGTGTTTGTTTCATAAAGTGTTTGCTGTTACTCAGTGTTTAGAATTAGGCATGATATTAGAACTTAAGAAATGACATTGAAATGCCATAAGATACATCTGGTGTTTCCTTTTATCCGACTAAATTTATTCTCAAATTTTTTTTCTAAGACACCTGCCTTCTACAGCCATTTTCAATTCAGTCACCATTTGACATTGAGGTACCTGGTGACTGTGGGTATATCTTTGAGATGATTGATGGTGTCTACCATATCACAGCTTGTAAAAGAGACGTCACCAGTGATTTTACTGTCAGTGACTCAGCCCAACCAGTAACACACCCTGCTCCAAATCTCCAGGAATTTTTTGAAGATCAAAACATTCTCCTGGCTCTATCAACTCATGGACCTATGTAAGTAGCTTATTATGAGCAAACCATATATATTTTGTTCTTTTATTCCAGAGGTGATCAGCATCTAATTTCTCCTTGTTAGATCAATTTAATATCAATCAAAAAGGTTATGGTCTGGAATAAATACATCTATCAACTAGAGGGTTTTCACACTTGTTAATCATCAAATTCTCCTAGGAAATTTATGGGAAAATGCGCAATAACCAGAAGAGAGAATTGCAAGGTTCTGTAAACAGCTATTAAGCCAGGAATTTTTTCGTAGTCAGAAAGCAGACATTACAGTCTGATTTTGGAAGGGGGGAGGATGGAGAAAGAAAGATTCTTGTCTCTAGGAATGTTTTGGCCTGAAAAAATGTTTGATACAATTACGATCACTCAGACGCTACATCAATTTACTCTGGCTGTATTATATTTTTGTGTTTTCTCAGAAAGTCATTTGCGCACCGACGTTTGAAGTACCTAGATTCTCGACACAGTCTTCATTCCCTGCTAAATGAGAACAGGGAACTAGCAGCTATGAAGGATGTTCCACATAGGGACTTTTACAATGTTAGAAAGGTTTGTCAAGTTCTTTGATCTTGCATGTTCTTGTGTGCTAATGTGTAGCTATGTATTGGATTAACATTCTTGTTGGTCAAGGTTTTATTTATGACAGTATGTAGCTTGAACTGGGCTAAGTAGCTCGTGGGAGTTTGATGATGATCTCTGCAAAGGTTGAAACAAGATGATGTAGCATAGAAAGTGAAATTGGGGATTGAATAATCAATATTCCTCTTGTGCACTTCATTTTTAATTTTTTGGTTGGGGGGGGGGGGCAAATTGCAATTTATTTGGGGCTGAGGACTTAATCAAATAAATATGGTATACTGGTTTAAGGCTAGTATTGTCACTGATGTGTGTGGCTGGATGGTTAACTTCAGGTTGACACTCATGTACATGGAGCATCCTGTATGAATCAGAAACACTTGCTGCGTTTTATAAAACGGAAAATGAAGTATAATGCTGAGGATTTAGTTACGGTCCATGAAGGAAGGGAGATCACATTACGAGAGGTAAGGATGTGAAGTATGTGATTTCTTAGGGAAAGATGTGAAACATTTTTTGATTAAAGGGGAGAAAGAAAAAAAATAGAGTCCTTTGTGAGGATTCAAACCTTATGCCTTTTGGCAGTTTTATCCTCTTCCAGCTTAGCATCAGTCATGACAACTCATTGGTCAGTTAGGTGATTGTACACTGTATGCATTGCAGATATTATAGGCCTCATATGAGTGATTCTTGATTTTTCATCAGGTCTTTGCCATGTTGAAGCTGACCCCATATGATCTAAGTGTTGACAGATTGGATGTACATGCTGTGAGTGTATTGATTCAATATTGTATATGTTATCTTTCTTTTAGATTCTCTGTCAGTCTTGTATTCTGTTATTTCAGAAAGATGATTATGATGGATCGTTACTTTGAATAAGATATCCCTACTTGATGCTCTCTGAAGAAAAATGAATAACCTGCCATTGAAATTAGCAAGCAAGCAATCCAGGGAGAGAGGCAATATCCTTTAGTTAGTGACTTCTGATGCAACTGAAACTTCGACTAGCTCACAATTTTTTTCAAAGTCAGTTTTTTTTTCAAAGTTGAACCCTAACATTATTTAATGCAGCTGTAGAAAGATAGTGTGACCAGCATTTAATTCCTCCCTATAGTTTTAATACTGCTAAATCATTCATTAGCCCTTTACTCCTTAACATCAGTAAGCATATTCTCCACTCTGTTCTTTATACATTTCCTAAGGTGCTGACAAGGAGAATTTGTTTGCCAATCAAATCGTTTCCTTTATTCTTATGACCTTAATATGTGATTCAGGAGTGAATTGTAGGGAGAAATTAGATGCTAGTCACTCTTAAGATTTAAAGGGTTAAGATAATGAGATTAAAGGAAATGGTCTCTGACCAAAGAAGCTTTGACTTTTTGACAAATTCTTCCTGTTATTACCAAACAAAAGACATAGAGAAGAGTATGGGAGAATATGGATATACTGATGTCAAAACACCAATGTACTCTGTAATAACCAGTTTGGAATATTTTACAAATACATGCTTTATATATTTCAGGACAGGAACACTTTCCACCGCTTTGACAAGTTCAACACCAAGTACAACCCCATAGGTTTGACTTTTGCTTCGCTTTTTTTTTCCCTTTCACTCCCCAAGATCTTAACCCTTTAACTCCTGTTAGTGACGAAGACAGAACTTCTCCTTACTCTATCTATACAACATCAAGCAGAAAAGTGATGAGAATAAAGGAAAATATCAATTATGGGATTACAAATTGATCTGATACCAGATTCTCCAAACTACTATAATAAGAATAATTAGGCAGACAGTAAGGAGAATTACTGATGAGATCTTGGGAGTTAAAGGGTTAAAGTTAATTCTCTATACTGCCCACAATACAATTCTTACAATTTTAGCTCCAAAAAATTTGTATTGAATCAAACAATATCCCCTAACCGTTCTGCTGTAAAATGTACTCATAAGCTAACTAAAAGGTGAGGTGAAATTCCTTTTTGGTCACTGCTGGGAGGGTTGTCATTTGTGAATTTGTTTGGAAGCTCAGTAATATTTTTTTGCCTCTAGGTGAAAGCAGGTTGAGGGAGATCTTTCTCAAGACAGACAATCACATCAATGGCCGTTACTTTGCGGAGATGTTGAAGGAAGTCATAGCTGATTTAGAAGAAAGCAAATATCAGAATGCTGAATACAGGATATCCATTTATGGGAGAGCAAAGAATGAATGGGATATCCTGGCTTCTTGGGCAGTTCAACATGGGAGAGCGAAAGAATGAATAAAGCGATGGATATCCTGGACTTCAAGCGAGGCCTAGAGACTTGAAGGGACGGTAAATTTCAACATGACATGTATTCAGACAATGTGCGCTGGCTCATTCAAATTCCTCGACTGTAGTGAGTAGTGTTATTTTAATTAATATTACGATCCACAATATACACCTCTGTCTAGAATATTATCAGAAGCCTTTTTCAAATCAATTTCATTACAGTATTTTTTTTTTTTTCAGAACAACAGAACCTAGTTGAGTTAAAATGAGTTTGCCTCCCAAAAAAGCAAAATACTATTCAAAGAGCAATTTTCAACTGGTTATTGAAAGAAATCAAGAATTCCATTAGCTTTGCATCACCTTACTCTTGCAATTGGGCTAGAAAATCAATCCAGTCAAATGCTGTATTAAAGTGCAACTTGGTCCCTCAGTTTTTCTTGCACTATAAGCCAACTATGATTGTCTGCACTGAGTTCTCATTGGCCTTTTCTGGTGTTTTCCCCTGTTATGATTGGCTATGGTGATTACATGTATTTTCAATTGGCTTTGATCTGGTGACACTTGATAATCAATATAAAGTCTAATCTAATTGTTGAATTTGACTGTATTCTATTTTGTCTTTTTCATTTTAGTGATATCTATCGATCAAAGAACATTGTGAACAATTTCCAAGAGATGTTGGAGAACATCTTCCATCCATTATTTGAGGCCACAGTCAATCCACAGGCACACCCAGACCTTCACAAATTTCTTACTCAGGTATTAGTCAAGAGCAACTCATATTTAGCTGTCTTCAGAAATAAATGGGCTTTCTGTGCTTATTGTTAAGTTCTCTGTCCCATATAGTGTTTACTTTCAATTGTAACATGATGAAGTATGAATATTTGGAACATTCTGGGGATCTTTCATGTGTTGTGATGAGAGATTTGTATTCATTTGGTAATCAGGATGTGGGAGCAAATATTGTTCCTGATTACAGTTTTGTTTTTTGCCTTATCAACTTAAAGGTCTTCATAGTACAATATTTCTCTTGATATATTAAAATATATTTTTTGTATAACAGTAAAGCAAGAGCTTTACTTGTGTATCTGCCTGCTGTTCATACAGTTATAAAGATGCTAACAAAGGTTTGCATTAGCAGAGCAACAAGAGGGAAAAAATGAGAGACAACTTGGTGAAATTAAAAAAAAAATCAAGGAAAGATGTTGATATGTCGTAAGACAGATAAAAGATAACCAACTATTGACACCATCTAATTTTCTAAGGTCTCTTTTTTTAATATTTCTTAGCTGGGAATTCTATGAGAGGATCACTGTTTTGATTGCTACTTCATTGTCAACAGGTTCTTGGCTTTGACAGTGTGGATGATGAGAGCAAAGCTGAAAGTCATTTGTTTTCAACCAAAAGCCCTTTGCCTGCCGACTGGAACAACACAGACAACCCACCCTATGCATATTACCTCTACTACATGTATTCCAACATAGTGGTGCTAAACCACTTACGAAAGTAGGTCTCATCCTTGTTATTAACCCTTTACACCCTAAGATCAGTATTCATATTCTCCATACTCTGCTCTGTACACTTTCTTTGTTATTGACAAGGAGAATTTGTTTGACAATCAAAACTTCCTAAGTTGGTAATGATATCCTTTATTCTCGTGATCTTAATAAAGAGTCAGCATTATTACTGTAAGGAGAAATTAACTGATGGTCAATCTTTAAGTTTGAAGGGTTATTGGTAATAAAAATCATTTTTTTAATCAAAGTAAGTTTGAACTCCTTTGTTTGCTTTTCACAGGGAGCGTGGTTTTAACACATTTGTTTTGCGACCTCATTGTGGAGAGGCTGGTCCTGCCCATCATTTGGTATCAGCATTCATGTTGGCTGAGAACATCTCTCATGGTCTTCTTCTTAGGAAGGTTTGCTGTTTCACAAATTTTATTAAATTATGAACCAAAGTCTGGGTTTGTGTATGGGAGAAGGGGTGCCCCAATAGCCAACCCATTAGGGCAGGTTCAACACTTGATCAGGTCATTGTGTTGTGTTGTTCAGCACAATACTGTACTCCTGCAGTGCTTCTTTTGTCCACAAGTATTAGTTATGTATCTTTAGGGGTTTCAATAAAAATCAGTTACTGGTGGTCAACTACTACCTGTGAGATCTCTCAGCGGCATCTGTAGAGCTTGCAAGCAGTCGTCTTCTTTGGTTTTTGTAGAGTTTATCTAGAATTTCATTTTTGCAATCAGCCCAAGATAGTTAAAAGATGGACTGCTTTGGTTTCATGGATGTTCATTTTGTTTTATTTACAGGTACCAGCCCTGCAGTACCTCTACTACCTGGCTCAGATTGGAATTGCCATGTCTCCCCTGAGCAACAACTCTCTCTTCCTTAACTATCAGAGGAATCCTCTCCCAGATTTCCTGGGTCGCGGCCTGATGGTATCATTGTCAACAGATGATCCCCTCATGTTTCATTTTACAAAGGTAGTTTGAATTTTGATGCCATATGTTTGAGTCTCCAGGTTTTTAGTCTGTCTGGTTTTGTTTCTTCATACATGACCATTGAGGAGTATGCTTGTAAATATGAGCCTTAGACCTTGAGATTTATGATAGAGAAGAAACTGTTTGGTTGTTAACATCTGCCTGACCCACCTTTACCCAAATTTTAAAGTTCCTTTGGCTATCCAAGACATGTCTGTATGGCAGCCTGCATTTCCAAACTTGTGACTGATCCTACTAGTAGCAAACTAGACATTGAAACTCAGAATATCCATTCTTTTACCTGGTCAACAACAGTCCTCTTAATTTCAGTCATGAGAATTTAGTGTCACATCAGATTCTCTCATCAAGGTGATTGATGGGTATATTTTATTCACCTTGTGCTGGGCTATGTGTTTACTTATTATTCTGAGGAGAAACTGATCCTTTTAATTCCCATTTTAAATTGATAGGAACCACTGATGGAGGAGTACAGCATTGCAGCTCAGGTTTGGAAACTCAGTCCATGTGACATGTCAGAACTGGCTAGAAACAGTGTGGTTATGAGTGGCTTTGAAAACAAGGTAAGATGTTTCTCTGACTTGAGAGACTTTTTGGAGAATTTGCCTTTAATGATTAATAAGGTGTTACAATCGCAATTGCAAGGTAATTGTATGGAAATAGAAACAGAGGTTTGAAGGGTACCAAACTGTGCAAAAACTTCAGAATGCCCTCAATTTGTGTTCCTGGACTCAAGGGGAAGTAGTGTGATGGAAGAGGTTAGGGTGCTGGTCTTATAATCTGGTGGTCCTTGGTTCAAGCTGTCCACTCTGCCACTCACTGGTCTCAGTTCAGCAAAACTAGAGATTAAATGTTTTTTTTGACGACCAATTTTAAACCAGCTGAGCCAGATTTTCACTTACTTTTGGCATACAATAATGTAAACTCATCACAGGTGAAATGTTTTGACAGGTGAAACGTCACTGGATTGGTGATAACTATGGCAAAGAAGGACCTGCTGGAAATGATGTAACAAAGACCAATGTTCCGGATATTCGGGTTGCGTTCCGTCATGAGACTTTGGTAGAGGAACTGAGCACACTCTGCACGGCTGCACGTGTCTAGTGTATGTCTGCTTGTTAACATGTGTCCAATGTACGAATGCACATCACCAAATCACATCAGTTAAACATGTAACAGACATATTCAACTTCCTTTGATATTATAGATCTCAAGCCAGCCCAGTCCAAGATATTTACTCCAGAGAGAGGCCTAGCTCCCTTTCCCAGCCTTAATTGGGTTTTAAAAGAAATATGAAAAAGAAATTATTGAGATCTCGAGTCAGTAAAGTATATTAAAATCAATTCAATGAGGGTATATGAGACAATTATACTTTATTTATTGATATTAGACAGCAGTCATCGATCAATGCCTCTCATTTAAACTTCTTTATGAGCTAAAGAACTAAGATTGAAAAATGATAATCTCTTTGGGACACTGTAATGGTCACAGTGGTAGCATTATTTTGGCATAGGGAAGACAAAATTCTTACTTAAGGTATTGAAATTATTATAGATAAAATACTGTTCATTCAATTGACATGCATTTGCTTGAAAATATTAGACATGATTTATTTATGTTTCCAATAAGTGATGTATGGCTCATTACGCAAGATGTCACCTGAGCATACAGCCACCATTATTTAAAACATTTGTCCCCACTTATAGTGGAGGCAAAAAAACAGATTATTTGCGAGCATTTTTTTCTGCTCAATCATTTTCTCTTTAATGTAATTTATGAATTGTATTACTGTCAACACATCTTTGATATAAACATAAATTGTATTTTTGGGATGTAAGTTGAAATGGAAATGAGTTATTGAGATTTTATTTTTATTTAGTATACTACAATATGAAAAGTTTGTGTAAAAAGAGAGCATATATATTCCTTGTAATCAACTTCATTAAAGATTTTTTAGTCCATATAGGGTAATTTTCATTGTAACCTTTTGACCTCTGTGAGTGACTGGCATCCAATTTCTCTAACTCAAATCACCCCAAATCACACATTTAGGTCTTGAGAATAAAGGAAATGATCACCAACTAAAAAAGCTCTTGATTGTTAAACAAATTCTCCTTGTCAGCACCTTAACAGATGTATAGGGAGCTGTATGGAGAAATTCACTGATGTGAGGGTTTAAAGGTTAGAGTCAAATTCGAAATCTCCCTTTGTCATTATCTGAGAATTGGTATGAAAGTACGTTTCCTCAAGTGGCCACACCCACCACCCTTCAAGACTACTACATTCACTCCTCTACCTACCCCATGGATTTCCACATTGGGGAAATGATTCGAGAGCCTTTGACTTTCCTTTGTTCTCGATTCAACCCTCATCAAGCAACTCTGAAAAAGTCTGTTTTTAGCGGACAGTCTAGGAAAAATATGATAATAATAACAGAAAGGAACGTGGAGATTTTTGAAATTGAGGCGCAGAATTATGCAGAGTGGAGAGTGCAGTTTCGCCAAACACAAACTCTTATCCAAAAGAGAAGAAGAAGAAAAAAATTATTTTCGCCTCAGGGTTACTTTGAAGTTTTATCAGACTGGAAAGATGTTTTCCAAATTTCTGACTAATATTCTTGCTCTTGAATGGGAAATCATACACCTTAGATGCTACAGCTATTCTGAGATCATAGTAGTAAAAAAATGTAAATTTAGTAGCTCGTGCGCTGCGCTTGTGCGAGAGGGGTCTAGGGCCAAGCTCGACATTCAAGATGGCCGACGCAGGCAAGCTCAAGGAACTTTAACAAATAGGGAATATTATTTCCGTCTCGTTCTTCTTTTTAAAAATTTCTGTTTATGAAAGGTGAGATTAAGATGCAGAGTTTCCATCTGTGTCACCATTATTGAGGGAATACTCGATGAGAAATGAAACTTCCTTGTTTGAGTGCAGCGAGGATTATGTTTCCTGGGCGACGACAGTCAAAGTATGTCAGCATTTGACGGAAATCCGCGAAAGAACGTGTTAGAGAGGTAAAGATTCAAATTTTCTGGAACATGATAAGTTTATTATTAAGTCTGGCAAGATTTCCGCGCAGTCCCATATTTCATTGTGCTTACAGATCCTCCGTTTGGAACTCCTTTTAGTACATGTTTGGTAATTAAGCCCCACTCTTGATTTTAAAAATATGTTGAGGGAAACCTGAAAAAATTTCAAAGCTCAGAGGGGGGCTCCTGAGGGTGCCTTCTGCTCTTGCTTCACCTCTCCCCCTTAAAAAATCTAGCTATGGCCTTGAGCATGACTTTGCTTTCTCTGCAATTGTATTATACCTACTGCATTTCCTTTGCGTTAGAGAACCTTGAAGTTGCTAACGCGGCATACATTCTGTGCTAGGCTAAGGGACAGAGAAAGAAGCAGGGACTGGTCTGCACTTGACAAGACCTACAGAAATCGATCGTGGTCAGCAGATTCCTATACAGGGGAGAAATTTGTCCCTCCAAAGAAACCAGGAAGCCCTGCTTACCTCCCTAAACTTGAAAACCGGCCAGCCTCAGTGGATTCAGATTATGAACAAGATTTGAAACGTGGAAACCTGAAAGTCATTCCTCCATTACCTGCTGGAGAACAACATGGTGTATCCCGAAGGTACATGTTACTGAACATGGCGAGGATTCTTATTTAGATATCTTTGGCAATGAAAGGGCGATGCACTTATTAAAGACAATGCTTAAGGACCAAACATGGTCCAAATTTAGGATAACAGGGTCTGGATATCCAGGATTTCTTGAGCTCCTTCTTTCAGAATAATTCAAGCAATTTTTTCAATGAGTAATAAAACTCCCCAGGAAACCAAGGTGTTGTCTGTAGTTACAAGATTTGTCAACTCTTTATTTCCAAATACAATATCCTCTTATAATTGAGAAATTCAGAATTTGAATACAACTTTATGTTTCAACTCTATGTAAGTTTCTGTTCCCACTGGAAAGAGTTATAGAGTGATATATATTTCTGTTTTCTTCTTCCACTAACAGGGATGATCAAATCAAAAGGAAAATTTCAAGAAAAGAAAATCAGGCTTTTCAGGGTCAAAGCAGCAGTTATCCATATGCAGCTCTGCCATCTTACTATCCCCATCCACCTGTGGCACCCCCTCCTCACCCCCCTTTGATGTACCCAGTTCCCATGATTCCAGTGCATCCTGGGTATGCACCTTGGATTGTACCCCAGCAAGGCTTTAATGGAGTCAACAGTGGTCTTTTTAATGCACATCATGCTGAAAGGTAATGCATAAAGCTTGGTAGATGGATCAGAATCTCTTGTATTCCCAGGTTTCAAACAATGTTTACCATAAATAAGACATACAACATGTCAATGATAACAGATTTAAGGTCTCTGATCATTCTGTGATCATTCAGGTCAGTGACCAGGGAGGTTCCAAGGTATTTTGGCACCCTCCTTCTTATCAGACCTGTGTTTTTTTTTTATTACTAGTCTGACACCAAAATTTTTACTATAACAGGATGACAAATTATTATTACTACACAATATGAAATATTTTATATTTACCTAACTTACAACCTTTCTTAATTCAGTTGGGCTACTGTGTTGAGGAAAAAAAAAAACTTTTGTGTTTTCTTAATCAAAGCCTGGAACCTTCCCCCACTCCCCCACCTTCATTAAAAATTCTTGGATCTTACCCTGCAGGTTTGGGAAGGACTGTTTTTGGTTACAGGGACTCATATAACAACAACCTGTATTCTTCCTAGCCCAACCTATATATAGTTACAAAACTGAAAAAAATAAAATCAAAGTACTAGCTGTATGGAATAATAGGCAGGATTGATGGAGCCAGGTATCAGAAGAGTCAATTACAGTCTAATTCATTTGCACTGATCAGTCCATTTTGGATGATGTTTAGATCTTTTGTAGTCCATTTGGATAAGATGATCAAACAGGTGTAATTTAGATGCCCCACCTGGTTTGTTTCAGGTCTGTTATATTCTGAACAAATTTAATTTTCTTCTCCTCAGACCACCTCACCAGTTATCACGATCTCAAGCAGCAGTTGTCATCCAAAAATATCACAGAGGCTGGCAAGTCAGGAAGGTGAGGCATTTGTGATCACTAGGGACAATTAAGTTAATGTATGATAATATACAAACCTACAAAACTACTAGGTTAGGCATTACAACTTCACTGAATGTATAAAAACTATCTTTAAGTCAACAGGGATATGTTTCAACCAACACCACACTCTAAACAAGCATTTTTGTTTTTTTTTTTTTCAATTTTTTGCTCTGGCAGGGTCCTCGATTTGCACTCTGGCGCCACATGTGTAATAGGAAATATTCAAGAAAATTTGTAGATGATTTGATTAACAGCTTTCTAATTGAAGAACTTGTTCCAGATGTCTTGATTGATGTTTTGGTTGGTAAGAAATTCTTGGTAAGTCCCATCACTTTGTTGTCCTATTGTAATTTTGATGAATTTTCAAGAGACTTACTCTGAATCTCCAATATTAAGAATTTTTTAGAATAATTTTAAAACTCTGTACACTTCTTAATTACCACTATAGATTTTCAGAGGATGCTCAACTTTCTAGGGTTGCAAGGATAAAAAATTATCAGACCAAAACTACAAGGATATTTTAAAGTAATATAATTTTGCACTGTAATTATCAGAGTATGGGCTCATACATCCAAATAGTCTTAAAAAGCAGCTTATCAATAAGAAACTTATATTCTTAGTGGTAGTACATTAAACATAATCAAATTAAAAATTTCCAATGGGCTCTGAAACTAAACTAGTCATGGAAAATTAATAAATTAACTGAGTCGATAATGTAAATTGGCCACTGTAAAGAGTTTCAAGGCTGACATTTCAAGCATTACCCCTTCATAAGTGCAAAAGACGAAGGACTAACCCTCGAAAGGTCACCTTTGAAACTCTTTACAGTGGCCAATTTACATAATTGACTCAGGTGTTATTGCTAAATTACCCTGTTATACTCTCAAACTGACACAGCACCACAGTTTCTTTAAGAATAGTTACCCCTTTTATACAACTTAACTTAAAACAAGTGTTAGCTGATGGTAAGTTTTGTTTCAGTCCATGCAAGATCCTAGATACAAAGCCAGTGAGAGGGTCTGCAAAGAGATCATTGATCAAGATGTAACTTCCTTTATTCATGAGGTCACCCTTGGTGTCTATTATGCTCATCAAGGAATGTGAGTGTTATTTTTACAACCTGTGCTACAGTACAGTCCCTTGAATTTTGGATATCTCAATTCTCCCATTATTTGAAATGTAGGAAATATCCTTGACGGTAGAAGTCTGTTGCCAGAATATCTGTGCTGTCAGAAATTTGTTAGAATATTAGTACTTCAAATCCCCCAGTCAAGACTCCTCGGACTGGTGATCATTTTGGTTATTTTCCTGGTCTTAATAAACAATTTAGCAGTATTCTGGTGAGGAGAAATTAGATGCTGGTCACTCTTTGGGTTTTAAAGGTCTAAATACTCCCTAGATAATCAGTTACTGAATATTCATTTTGCATTTGCTGTACAGTGCAATGATGTTCAAAAGGAAAATAAGGTTTTAGACACCTTTGGGAATAAATGAATTTGAAGAGAACAAAAAAGTCGAAGCATGAAATTTTCAAAACAGCTATCCTATCCTTTTTGCATCTGTTTGGAAGAACTGCAGGGCAAAAAATTCATCTCTTCTGTCCTCTTTTTGTTTTCATGGATGTGTACTAGTTTCTTTTTTTAAATGTATATTTATTTAACTATTTATTTAAATTTTTTATGCTTAGTGCTTACTCCAGAAGAGATCCGTCTGTAAAAGCATGTGATAGTATCATAGGTGAAGTCGTACAGGAATTTGCTGGGCAAGTTGTGCGATCTGTGGTGGAGGAAAAGGTTGTGGGTCACATGGCTGTAATCAAAGCTGGTGATTGGTTAGAGGACTTCATATTGGAGACAATTGAACCAATGATCCCAGTAGTGGTAAGAATATTATCCAGGACTTCAAAGTTAATTTCAAAGAGTCTGCTTGTTTGTTTGTTTGTTTCTTTTTATTAGTAAGTTTTTTTTTTTCGTTCCACATTGAAGCAATATAGCTGTGGTTTCTTAATGAGAGCAAGCTAAATTCCAAATCAAGTGGCTGAGGTTTGAGCCCAGTATGGGGTGCCTGTGTTATGTTCTTGACTACGAAGACTAGTTACTTTTTACCCCTTTCCCAACCACCAGTAAATAAGCACTGAAAAAATCATAATAACTAATAATGTTGGGGGTTCATCATGCTAAGATACTCAGCTTGATGAAGAACATTTTAGGATATTTAGCTTTAGATTAGGCAGGTAACTTGTGAATAAGTCTTGACTTTGATATCCAGTTTAAAGATGCCAGTAGGTATTGAGTTTGCCATATGAAACATAAAAGGAGACAATTTCATGTATACTTTACTCTTTAACCCATAAGAGTGACTAGCATCCAATTTCTCCTTACAATATCACCCCGAATCCTGCAGGAGAATAAAGAAAATGATCACCAACCAAAGAATATCTTGATTGTTAAATAAATTCTCCTTGTCAGCACCTTAGGAAATGTAAAGAGAACAGTTTGGAGAGTAAGCAGACTGATCTTAGGGTAAAATGGTTAAGCAAATTTTAACACAAACTATAGCTTTCCCTTCTTAAATAATTTAAGTTACACTATGATGAACGATAATTAAAAGGCAGCTTGGTTCTTTAAAAGCCTTAAGAAACCACAAGAAACAATACGGTATTTGACTTTCATTCGCTCTTCAGGTCTCTGAAGCCATGGATGGATTCCAAAATGATGACCCACTTGATGAAGTTATCGATGAGGTCATAACGTCTGAATTGAGACAAATCGTTATCGATGTTTGGCGGGAAATGATGGAGGTTGACAGAGAGAAACAAGTGAAAAAGGTAACTCCTTGCAACTTGCGAGCCGAAATGGTACCGCAATATTTCTTGTATCCACAGCCAAAAGTCCTTGGCAAGCTGGTATTTTCTGGAAGAGAATACAGTGGTCATGACCATGAAAAGATCGTGAAAAGTATTAATTTTGATCCAATGTTAGCGTAAGATAATACCCATTTCATTTAGCGCGAATTTGAATTCACAGTTGAAACGCTATGGATCTAGATATTTTGCAATATTTTATGATTATAAATGATGACTTTATTGGTAGTAGAACCAATTTCGATAGAGTGTCGCATGACCAAAATCAAAGTATTTCACAACTGCCAATCAGAACTATGGAAAATATGAGAAGGAACCCAAGTACAATCAAAATAGAAACAAGTTAACTACTTATCTCGAGAAAAGGTGCGATCGGCCATAGCGCAATTGTTTTTGGTGTTCTCTTTTTGGTCCAGAGACGATGGCGCAAATTTTCTAGCCCAATCACAGAGCATGGCGTAAGTTTTCTAGACCAATCACAGAGCATAGCGTGGGTTCTTCTTTTAAACCAATCATGGAGCGTGGCGCGTGTTTTCCAGACTTAACACAGAGCGTGACGTGAGTTTTCTAGGTCAATCACCAAGCTTAGTTAAACAAAAGCATTAGAATCCTGAATCACTTTCAGTCCTCAACTTTGAACTGAAAGCTTCGTTAGGTATTTTGATGACCATGCAGTGATGTTTGGTTAACAAGTCCAATTAAGATCCACTTCTCTCGTACAAAGATTTGAAGAAATTATATGAAGTTCTGCGAAAAACATAGGTAAAAAAGGAGTAAGAATGATTTTCCTTGGTTTTGTCTTTTCAGCTGTCTGTGTACGCAGAGGATCGCCTGTTAGACTCACTGTGTCTTCAGCATCTTCTGAGTCAGTTAGCTGGTGATAATCTGTCCTTTCACGTCAGAGGTTATGCACAACAGGCTTTAGACGGTAAGGAGACGATTTCCGATTATAGATACTAGAGTGTGATTTGACATTTTAGACACTAGTGTCTGATTTCCGATTTTAAACATTAGAGTCTATTTTTTTTAGACACTAGTGTCCGATTTCTAATTTTGAACAGTCCAATTTTGAACATAAGTGTCCGACGTCGAATTTTATGTCCAGTTTTAGACGCCATTTTCCGATTTGAGGCATTAGTGTGCGATTTTGGACACTTTGTCCGATTTCCGACTTTGAACACTGGTGTTCTTTTATAGACACTTGTCTCCGATTTTAGAGACTAGCTTCATATTTTAGACACCAGTGTACGATTTTAGACTCAAGTGTCTCATTTTAGACACTAGTGAACACCAGTGGTCATTTTTGCAATCTTGTTTCCGAGATTAGACACTAAGGTCCCATTTTAGACAATAGTTACGATTTTGAATATTGGAAGACTCTTTAAATTTGCCATGACAAATTGATGAATGGGAACGTGGAAATTTTAAACCATCTATAGCTGTGCACCACTGTTGTAAGTTATGAATTGTTTATCAAAAGAACGCCAATAATGTAGAACCCTTTAAATATTTATTACCCAAACCTAGCTCGGAATTATATTCTTTTCCTTTACATGCGTAATCAACCGGACAAAATGTCTGGTCCTCTTAAGAGTTGACTCGATGAAACATGTGTTTGGCCGGATATTGTCCAAATACCGGCCGTTAGTTCCATCCCTGATGCTTGGGAGAAATTGGTGCTGTCATCACCTTCATAATTAATTTTTTGACGTTTTTTTTTAATTTTCCAGCGACAATCTCAGAAAACTGCTCGTCTTTCCTTTTTGCAATTTTTTTCTTTTTCTTCCAGTAGAATAGAAATAATTACATCCCATCGTTAAAATACAGTTTCGTTTTTTATCACAGGCATGTTGTGTGGATTGCTGATCCGTAATTATTTGGCCGTGAATGATCAACTGGAAGCGACACAAAGCAGCGCTGCTGTAAAAGAATTTCATGAAGAGGTTTTCTGTGATGTGGTAAATAAAAAACTGCAAATTTTCTGCAGTATTCTTTAAAATGCTGTTTGATGTAGTAAGTGCTTTCAGCAATATTTATTGAGACCCAGATGTAGGCACTAGGAAACAACTTATAATTTGAAGAGGTGTGATGTTGGTGATAACGCTAATAATAGCATAATGTACCTATTTAGAAGATCAAATATGCTTTAATTTTTCTAAAAAAACTCTCCATGGTAGACATTTTATTTCGCGATAGACGGTAAAGGAATTGTTTGTTCTTTCCACGTAGGCATTGGATGTTCTTTTGGAAGAATTGACAGCAAATCTGGATGAAGACATGCAAGATCTACTAGAACACGAAAATCAAAGAAATACTTTCGACCTTTAACTTTCTAAGAACACTTTAATACCTTTAAGCACGGACTGTTTTAAAAGCCAGTGAACGGGTCTATTACATAGCCTGTACGTAGATTGTCTGCGAAGGATTGGTCGGTATATCAGTAAACAAATCCTACCATTCCTGTTCACATATCTAATATCGTTCGGTCATTCATTCTTTCGGTTTGTAATTCATTCCTTTCTTCGTTAGTTCGTTCATTCGTTCGTTCATTCGTTCGTTCATTCGTTCGTATATTCATTCGTTCATTCATTCATTCATTCGTACGTTTATTCGTTTTTTCGTCCGTTGATTCATTGATGTGTTCGTTCTTACGTTCGTACATTCGTTCCTTTTATCATTCATTCGTTCATTTGTTCGTGCATTCGTTCATTCGTTCGTTCGTTTATCCGTTTCTTGGTTCGTTAATTGATTCATTTCAGCGTTCGTTCTTACGTTCGTGCATTTGTTCCTCCTATCATTCATTCGTTCATTTGTTCGTGTATTCGTTCATTCTTTCGTTCGTTCGTTCTTTTGTTCATTCATTCGTTATTTTATTCGTCCATTCAATGTTTTTTTTTCTTCCTTCGTTCGTTTTTTTTGTCTATTCTTTCGCTCCTTCGTCAGCTCGTTTGTTGGTCCTTTCGTTGATTCATTTATTCACATGTTCGTTCGTGCGATCATTCAACCCTGTGGTTAGTCCTGGGTTCTTTTTTCCTTCAGTGAGTCAGTATGTTACTGTGACACTTAATCGGCGGCTCAGGTAGTCAAGTTCAATTTCCATAAAGCCATTATCACAAAGATGACAAACAATACAGATTCACAGACGCCGCGATATCCTTGGTTTAGTCGGTAGGGTCTTAGTACGTTCACAGTTTGTGATACTAAATAAAACTGTACCTTCAAAGGAAGATCCTTTTTTTCTCTTTCCATTTAAAACTTTGTTCGATGGGGATCATTTTCTTATTATATATATATATATATATATATATATATATTATATTGCTTAAACAGGTATTTAATCCAGATTGGGATCATAAATATTTCATCTCAAGAAAAAAAGATAAAATGTATATTTTTTTAGTTCGTGGCAAATTCGTTGTTGAAGCATACAGAAAGAAATATTTGTGAGAAACTCTTTAATTTTTTTTAATTTCGCGTACGAATGTGAAGGCTAAAAAATACACATATATTTAAAGAAAAAAATTTAATTAAAAGAGAAAAATTTCAAAACTGTAGTTTGTCTGTGTTTCTGACATGTTTCACCAGCAGGCAGCTTTTTACCCTGATGAAGATTTTGAACCCGTTACTAAACGCACCGGATATAAAAACGAATTCTTGGTTTTTTCGAGAAAAGGAAATTAAACATCTATTGCTGACGTGTATGCCAATCAAATATTATCTCTGCAGAATTGACGAGACCTTGTCAATCACATATCTCGGATGGACTGATTTGCATGCCGAGAATTGACAGTATTTTGCTTTATCTGTCAGTGGCTTTTGTGTATTGTTATTAGTCCTGTCTATTCTCCTAATTTTGACCGACAATTTGTTTCGTGTCATTCACTCTGATCGAAAATTAATGTCAAGTAAGTTATTCATCCGCTGTCAATCACCTCAACAAATGATGCGTGCGTGTTTTGCATAGGCCTGTAATTGTCTTTCGGGGAGGGGTAGGTAAAAATAATCTGGCGAGTAATTTGAAGATTAATTCATTTATAACCATACATCTGGTAAACAGGGAGGAAAAACAAGGCCATTGAAAGAAAGAAATCAGTGGATCTTGATTAATGTAACTAAAGATTATCTTAAATTACGTGGCAGTGGTCCAATACATTTCAATAACTCGGCAAATGATTTGAAATAGTACAGATGTTTTTTTCTGAGGGTATGGTAGAACTAAACACCGGTCAACGTATTTGAACATCTTGTTCACAAAGAATTAACGTTTGAAGCCTCAGTACGTATTTTGATTAAATTCTCTTTACCTACAATCACATTTTTCTTTTAATTATTTTTCCAAGCAGAAAAATGGAAAGTTATTGAATCCATGTCCCTTATCGCAAAGTCACTAAAAACAAACGCTTGATCGCATGGTGTAATTGCAAGTTTTCGAATTCTAACAATCCCTTTCTCGTGAAGTTCGCGTAAGGTGTAAAAATATACTAAGCGTAAATAAAAAATGTTTACTGCAGTTCATCTGAAGCTTATGCCATACTAAGAATTGTTGCCAAAGAGGGAAAAGGTAGAGAAATTCTGAACTTCCAGGCTCTGATATGAAGGAATGCAAATACAATAATTAATCAAGTACGCCCCCAATAATGCGCCACATATCACCAAAACCACCCGTTCTCTGAACCTTTGTTTTCATAACACTCCATGGAACCTCCCACATTAGGGGTCGAAATCAATTTTTTTTTTTTTTTTTTTTTTTTTTTTTTTTTTTTTTTAATTCTTAGCTTGTAGCAGGGGAAAAAAAATCTATGTTTGAGATGAAGTTTCCGGTTGTGACTTAGAAAATATGTAGCGGTAAAAAGAATATCGACGATGTTGTTTTGGCAGCTGAATCACATCATGGCTCAAAAGCCAACATCGGCATTATTCAAATCATTCATTATGCATGCATCAATTATTCCCCAGTGTGCGACAGGTATAAATTAGCATGGGGACAATAGTAATTATGTAGAAATTCGTCGGTTGGCGCTGTCAATCAGGCAAGGCAAGGCCGCGCCAAAAGGAGTTTTTGACGTTGACGAGTGAGTGACACCGTCGCTGTTCCATCGCCTCGTGCATTTCTTTTTAATAGTGACCAATTGTAAGTCTTTCAACCTCCCATACAAACACATTAACAGAACAACGATTATCATTTCATTTGGTCTTCCAGCCGGGTCCGTTCATCGCCAACATGCCAGTCGAGTATAACGTTGTCTTTTCTCTTTTCGAACAGGCAGCCTTTGATGGAAGGGCTTGCGAATCGAGTGGCCACCAGTCACATGCTTCAAGGCCAAAACATTGCTACTTCGGCTCATTATGGAGGTATATCTCTCCAACAGACACCAGCGGACAAGATGCCCCCTCCTTCTTACGACGAAGCCCAGATAACTGTTCAAGCGGTCGACTTGCAACAGCTTTCAAACATGGAGGCGGAAAAGCAAGCAATCTACCGCCATCCTTTATTGCCTCTTTTGGCGAAGTTGTTTGAAAAGTGCGAGCAGTCAACTCAAACCTGTGAATGCACGCCTGCCACGGCATTCGACAACGAAATTAAGAATGGAATTTTACAGATGAACAGGGAAGGAAAGCCTTTCTATACGGAAGATCGAGATCTCGACAACTTGGTAAGAATAAGCCGAAGCTTACTCTTTACTTCGTTAGATTTAAATCTCAAAGGTTTTCGTTTGTTGAGACGAGTTGATCGTAATTTTGACAAATCTCAAAGTAATCAAGACTTGTTTTGGGTCACAGATGACATTGAAGACCTTCGCTATCTACCAGTGAATCTCTTGATGGATTGAACTTCGAGCTACAAAATGTTTCAAATGTTGTAATCAACAGACTTGAAATTATTGCGTCGTTCTATCGAAAGCTTCACAGTCTTGGGCTCTTCGAAATTTTTTATACGCATTTGTTGTTGAAAGTGCCCGCCATGTTTCTATGTATTGTAAATGGCGGGTGGATAGATTTTGCAATGAAAACACTCACTTTTCGCGTGTTTCAGTACAGGTACTATAAATGGCGTTTCGTTTTGCTTCCTAATGATACAAGAAAATTTTAATCCAGATTAAGTGTAAGCTTTTAATGGCGTTCTGAAAGAAAATCTCATACCGAATCATCCATGAGCCTATTGAAATCAATTACAGAACGTTCTATTCTAAGAACACGAAAAACCCTGTTTTCCCTCAGGCTTCTGAATTTCCGAGTACCCCTTTCTCGAAGCAGAAGTATGACGTTTTTGTTGAAAACTTTTCATTTTCCTTCTAATCGAAGATTTCCTGTTTTCATCCTAAATCCTGTTGTATGTTTTCCTGATAGCTAGATTTGGGTGTTATTTGTTATATGGGTAAATTATAAAAATGTCTTGATATTTTTTTATATATTACTGCTGACATTAACTCGCTAAGGGTATTACATTCAGAGTTAGCCGACTTTTGTGAAGGAAGCAATTTCAATGAATTGTTATTTACATATGTAAATATTTATTAAGAATTAGAATTTGTTTTGTTGTCAATGTAAATTTTTCAGCAAACACGGACCTCATCTTTTATGTATGTTTTTTACTTTCATACTTCTCTAAGCAAATGACAGCATTTTCGTTCTCCCAGGATGTTTATTTAAATTTTCAGGATATGATTGTCTGAAATTTCTATAGATTTTAGCTGATTTATTTTGTTATTAGCAAAACGTGGGGGTGGAAGTTAATTTCTTAATTTCCTCCTTGTTTAGAGATATAAAGCCAGCTTGTGTGTGCTAAACCTATCAAAAACTTGTGTGTTAGGTTTTTATTGGTTTTAAAAAAACCTTTGCTTACTCTTTAGTTTATTGTGCAAGAGAACAGATATTTTTCTGTTGATATCTTTCAAGATTGTTGGGATTGAAATACAGCACACATGGTTATGAACAAAGGAGGTTTTCTCATTTCAACAAAATTTGAATCACCCAGACAAAATTGTTCTTTATAAAATGATTACAATATCAGGCAGACAAGTGATAAAAAGAAAGAAAATATCAACTAGGGGATTATCAGTTGATGTGATACCAAATTCGTCAAACTAACATAAAAGAGAATTGTATGTCAGGCAGTGAGGAGAATTTGTTAATGAGATCTTGGGAGTGAAAGTTGAAAACCAATGAAATGTGTCTGTCACTAAATATGTTTGTTTTGTCTTGTCAACAGATGGTGAAAGCTATTCAAGTACTCAGGATACACCTACTAGAGCTGGAAAAAGTAAATGAACTTTGCAAAGATTTTTGCCAGAGATACATAGCTTGTCTGAAAGGGAAGATGCAGAGTGAGAACCTGTTGCGTAGCCCTCTTCAATCAGCATACTCTCCTGCTGTGAACGTGTTAAATGCAAATGTGCAACAACAGCCAACCACTCCAATCCAAGCACAACAACCAACATTTCTCCCGCAGCAACAAATCACTTACTATACCCCAGCAGTGGCTCCGTGCACAATAGCAAATGCAACTCCTACAGCAAGTGTTATTGGTTCTCCTGTTCAACAACAAGTTGCAACTGTTGCATATGTTCCACAAGGAGTGGCACCCAATCAACAGATTGTCATAGCACAGGTTCCCCAACAGCCAACCGTGCCATCAACAGTCACGTACAGCACAGTACCAGCAACTGTAACATACACCACAGTGCCAGCAAATGTAACTTACGTCAGCACACCAACTGTCGAGACTGTCACACCACCCAGACTGCAGACACATTCCTCCGGAGATGAATCTCCCACAGAAATAACAGTCCCCTCCAGTGTTCCTCTCCCTGCCCTGGACTCACCAACGGAGGTCACTGATAAAAAGAGAACTAGGAGAGGAGTGTTACCCAAGCAGGCGACAAACATTATGAAAAGCTGGCTTTTTCAACATCTGGTGGTGAGTTAATTTTGATAATTAGTTTTGTTGCAATTCCTTCTAGATATGGCTTCAAAACTTAACTTTAAACCCTTGTGTGGTACAAATATTACTGTTAACAAGAAGAAATCTGGTCACAATGGAGACTTGACTGGTTTACAAAATTATTTTCCTATAGTGTTTCACTGTGATAGTCAATTAAGAGTTTAAGAGTCTTAGAAAATAAAAAGTTCTTGAAAGAAATAATTGTTTTTCCCATTTTGGACATTTTTTTTTTAACCAGCATCCGTACCCAACAGAGGATGAAAAGAGGGCTATTGCGGCACAAACAAATCTAACAATACTTCAAGTGAACAACTGGTAAGCTTATCACTGGACTCATTATACACTGGGCAATATATATCTTACTGTCGTACAATTATTTCATTTTAAAGAGGATTTTCGGGTAGCATTTCTCTGTTTCATTGTTTAACTCAAAGTTATCTCTCTATATAGGTTCATAAATGCTAGACGTCGCATTTTGCAACCAATGTTGGATGCAAGCAATCCTGAAGGACCTAAAGCCAAAAAGTCTAAAATCCAGAGTAGGCCTGCTCAGAGATTTTGGCCCGACACTCTTGTTCCCAGCCAGTTCAACACCATTCCAATAGCTCCAGCTCCAGTGACTGTCCAAGCTGCTATGGTGCAGGGTGCTGTCCAAATACAAGCAGTACCTCCTGGTGTGGCCCTTCCAACTGCTATAACAATACCTAATGTCCAAGGTACCACAGTCATACCAGGTACTGTCACTTTGCAACAACCTGCAGGGACACCAACCACAATGGTTGTTGTCACATTACCTCCCTCAGCAAGCCATGTCACCACAGTGTCAGCATCGGAAAGTTCATCAGCAGTCACAACACACCCAACGATGATTGCACCAACTGTGTCATCACAAGTTGAAACTGTTTCTGTAAGCAGCTTGTCTCCCATGTATTCTAACATTCAGCAAGGCAGTCCATCTCTTCAGAATTCTCCATTGCCGACCATGGTTCAAAATGGTGGGGAGAGTAATCTTGTTAGTTCTCCACACCACATGCCTGTCAGTTCAAGCGTTAGCATGGCTGGTGTTCAAGATAATCTGGTTGGAGTTAACACCATTTCACTTGACTCTGCTGCAGTTTCCAGAGGTTTAGTGAACTGAGTTAGTCTAGTTAATGTGAATAATGTCTTTGCAGCTTAGAGTCCCTTCTTTCCAATTTTTTTTTCATGTATCTCTAAGTCTGTAACCATCTTAAGAGAATTGTTAGCCATGGTAATCTCTACTTGAGGGAAATTGTGGTTTTGTTGAAAATGGTGTAAATGTTAGCTTTGGTACTCTGTTTTTTTTTTTCCTCTGTGCATTATTCCATTTCTGAGCTATCTTTGTCTCAGTTTCAAAACCAGGCTTGTTATAAAGAAAGTCTACATTTCAATTGTTTGAGTGATTATGGCTATGCAATTGAAACCATCATGTTAACCATTTGACCTTCAAGAGTGACAGTTTTTCCTTACAATATCACACATTAACGTCACAAGAGTAAAAGAAATGATTGCCAGCTTAAGAAGCTCTTCATTGTGAAACAAATTCTCCTTGTCAGCACCTTATGAAATATGTGTAGAGCAGTATGGAGAGTATGCATGCTTGTTTTGAAACTGAGATGAATAAGCTCAAAATGGATGCACTGATGGCATGATAGTCATTAGCCTTGCCTCTTGTGGGAAACTGAATGTTCATCTGGTTTTATACATGCTGAGTATATGTCTTGAGAACTGTGTTAACTTCTGGTTAGTAACTGTGGTCCTTTAGTCATGTTACATGCTTCTTATGTAGTTTAAACTTGTGAGAAGCATGTTGTATGCTGAAACTGTAGGATCTTGGGTATATGTAGCAGTGTTTTGAAGCAAATTTAAAGAGCTTGGCCTCACTTTGAGTCTAATCCTAGAGGAGAACACTCATCACTTATGTGATACTTGAACAGCAGAGTAAGTAATAATTTAATGCCCTCATTGGTGAGTGCAGGATGTTCCTTCACTGTTTAACAGTGTTATAAATTTGTAGGGAGAACCAAGGCCGTGGTTCCTTCTACAGGGAAAGAGTTAAACAAATTTGAATGTTAGCAATCCCCAAAATTGCAAAGCTACAAGAGTTGTGATACAGTGTTAGTTGTCTTGGTGTGTTTAAGTTTGAATTGTTACAAGATCATTATTGGTTGTGTTGTACCATGCAAAATGCATGGTTGTTCCTCTTGTTATTATTACCTTAGCTAGACATATTTCTTTTTATGAATCATGCCAGCTGGTAATCAGTCCAGCAGGTGTGATCAAAATTTGCAAACATATTGCGTTCAACTTAAGACTATGATTTATAGCTGTAAAAATTAAGAGGAGAATGAGAGATTTTATAAAGAAATTAATAGCTCAAACAAGTATAATTTTATAATGTATATTATTTTATGGAGCTGTATATTGCTGTTAAATTATTAACAAGTGAATATTTTAAGACTTATTGATGTTTGATATTTGGTTAAACATTCAGGTATATTTTTAGTTAAGTGAGACATTCAACTTGGATTGAAGTAAAAGTCAAATGATAGTTAGATGTCATGGAATACTGATTAAAGTATTGCTGAAAAATCATCAGACATTTCCATCATGGTAACTTTCTTCAGCCATATATTAGGCTGTTGATGTAGTTATTTCAGGTCTGAAATTTGCTTTTTAACACAGGTTCCACAAGGAAATTACTTAGTTTTGTTTCATCTGATTGACAGATAGAAAAATCAACCAAAAAGTGCTGTTCATAAGTTTTTTGGAACAAATGAAATATGGGTTAAGCAGGAGAAACAATGATTTAAAGAGGTTTTGCCCTTATGTTGAACGATGAATATACCAAGTTTACCCCTACTTTTTCATTAGGAAAGGGATAACTTCTGTTGAAAGAATAGGAACTGAAGAATTTGGGGCCGACTGAAAAAGATAGGAGTGAACTTGTTATTTGATGGAGTAAGCTTGTTCAGGTCAGGTTCAATGAGTAGTGGGTGAACTTGCAATTGTACTAAACATATAGATATCAAAGGATTGTGAGGAGGACTAAGGAGAGTGAAGAAAGTATTGTTGCAGGCCACAGTACTCCCACCAAAAAATTCACAATTGGACTCTTGCATCCAACAGCTTATTCCAGAACCCAGAAATTGGTGAATTTACACAGTTTAATGGAATAGGGTTGGATGTGGATGATTACCACAAAGCTGTTTATCTTGGTATTTTCACCTTTGGTTTCTCTTCAACATAGTGCAATTACTTTGGAATTATTTTGTCTTTGCCAATAAACAAGAGTACAATGGTTTCACAATTAGGGTGTGATGGAAGGAACAAAAAATTCAACTAAAAATAAATAACGCAACAATACGAGGTAAGTAACTCTCCATTGTAATTCTTGCCATCCTTGGTGTGATTTGATCCCAACTTGTGATTATTTCTCTGAAAGCGCGGTTCTATATTGAAGCCAGTAAACTCTTCTTCTTTGCTATCTGAATCGAAAAGCACAGCCACTACCAAAACTACAGACACAACTTCCAATATCTTCAACTCACAATATCTCAGCAAATTCATATGAATACCTCCCCTGAAAGTTAGCTTGAACTAAGCCACTACTCTCACCTTATTGGTTAAAACACAATAGGCCAGAAGAAACACTGAAAATAAGTATCTTTTATTGGTTAGAACTGACCATTGTGAAGAGTGCCATATGGCATATTTGGAAATTTATGGGGTGGTACACACGAGTACCATATGGCACTGTTGGTCAGGAAAGGGTTTAGAGCCTAATTTTCCATTCAAATCTGTGTGCATTTCCTGAAGTACTTAAAAGGAGCATTTGTAAACAATCAAGAGTTTCTTGAGTTCATGATCATTTCCTTCATTCTCATGACCTTAAAGTAAGATTCAAGGATAACACTGTTGGGAGAAATAAGATGTTTTTCACTTTTAGGGAGTTAGAGGGTTTGGCTACCAGGTGAACATAGAGACACAGTTGATCTTTGCATTGACAATATTAAATAGCAATGCCTTTGATACTTAATTCATTTGGGTTTTGATGTAAAAATTTATTTGAAAGATGAGTACTCACAATTATAGGCAACTATAATAATTTATCTAATTACAAAAAGTTCCAGAAGCCACAAACTCACTTGAGTTGGACTAAAGGAGATAACCACCTTTAGTCCATCTTTCATAAAGCACAGTAATGTCTTTGATTTGAAAAAGTTTCACTGCTAAAATTCAACACATTTTTACTACATTCTGCTGGTTCATTCAGTGAAAGTTAGCAGAGAGACTCCATGACTGAAGCTTGCATCAGAAATTATGCAAATTTATGGATAAAGAAGGCACAGAAAGAGTAAAATCTTGATTTGTAAACAGAAAAATAAAAATATGGTACTAGTACCTATAAGTAATTGGTTAAGTTTGTTGGTCCAAATCTATATTACACCCCACTTGGAATTATTTTTCATGACCTACTGGTGATTTTTTGTATTAAAAAAAATTAATATTAAAACTATTTAATATTCTTTTCTTGTATTTGCTTCCCACTCAATCATTCCAGGGAAATAAAGTTAATTAAAAAAAGTGTCTAAAATTCATAAAAATAATTTTTCCTGTTTCCTTTCAGCTGAGAGCTAGTGAGTCATAACTTGAGCTAAGGGTAAAAGGAAGCAAAAAATCACAGGACGAGTGCATTTGCTCCCTTTTACATCATGTCTTCCTATCACTCACACCACACCTAGGCATTCTTAGCTTGGCATAAAGGAAAGAAAATAAACTGCTACCCTGGCTAATTAGCTCTGACCAAGGGCTAACACTTGAGAGATCAGCTTTAGAGACCCTTTGCAGTGACCCATTTATATTATCAGTTCAGCTGATAAAAACAAATTATCTAATTATAAACTAAGGTGATTTTCATTATCAGTTACTTTACATTCATCTTCGTCAGACAACAGTCATTTGAGAGGCATGTTGAACAACATGAACAGAACCTGAATGAAAAGCTTTATATGAGCTGCGAGGTGATGAGACAATTAGGGTTGAACCAGATGACCTTGCATTGGGGATATTCAGGAATGTTGTTCCCATGCGAGACCTCTCCTGTGGGTTATAGATGATATTTTTGTTAAGAAAAAAAAACATCAACAAGATCACTGAGCTGGGTAAAACATTTACAACTGCAATACACTGAAGTTATACCTGTTGAATTTCAAAATTCTATTACTACTAACCAGTTATAAAATATTTTTGCTGCATTTTGTAATATTTTTACTACTTACATTTTTTTATATTTTGTAAACCCTGACCCAAAACTGTCATCTTGAAAACAGTGGGAAGGGGCTGATATGGAGAGGCAGGACACTTAATATAGCATATGTACATCATCATAATAATAATTATTAATACTTTACCTCACTGCTTTTCATCACATTAGATGCCTGGAAAAGAATATTTTTAACATCTTGTTAAATATCTGGTAATTTTTACAACTATTACAGGTGTAGTAAATCCAATCATATGTTGCCTATCAAAGTAAAGATTTTCATGTGCTGTTAAAATTGAATTATAATTAAATGCCTAGGAGGATTGAAGGGTAGTTGAATTCAAAGTAAATTGGAGACATACCACAAGAAGTTGATATTACCTTTTCTCCAGGACAGGGTTCCACTTCTTTACATCCTCTTGTGGCATTCCCCAATGGAAAAGATGTTCCACCATAAAAAACATACAGCCCTCCTTCCTCAGCTAAAAAAAAAAAAAGAAATTAGGGAAACACCATGAGCTTTTATCTTCACTTGTTTATGTTGTGTTGTTTTGCTTTTTTCTGGGTTAGCTTTATTATGAATATTATACCAAACATGTTAGTCAAGAGTACATGTGTTGAGGATTCCTTGAAAATAAAAAAAAAGATAATTTGACTAGGAGATTATTTATGTATCTAGTTCAATACAAACAAGGACTTATAATAGGGTCAGTTTCATCTCCTAACGCCTTAATTAGCTCCCTTGGGTGACCAGGTAGAATTTCTCCTTATGCTGGTAATATCAATAAGATATCAAGCAGAAAAATGATAAGAATAAAAGTACAATATCAATTTGTGGATTATTAGCTGACTCCATTCCAAATTCTCAGAACCAACATCACATAAATTGCATGGCAGACAGAAAGGGGAATACCTTAAATGAGATCATTATCTGAGCCAGAATTACAAGTTAGAGTGAAGTACCTTAAGTTAATTTTCACCAGGAAGAAAAAGTTTTAATCACAAACCTCCTTTCAACTCTTCAGTAATATCTTCTGTTCTGAATGGTGCAGAGAAAACCAAGTCTGTGATACCATCATGGTTCACATCAGTGAAATCCAAACTCCAACCAAATCTGCCATAGCTGCGGTCACCTTCAAAAATGGCAGTATATTGCAAATCATTAAGAGAGATATCACTTCCACTTTGCAGAACTTTTGTGGAGTTTACCAGGTAGATGGCACCTGATTGGGTAAAAGAAACTGGCATATCCTCCACATCAACCAAATGGCCTTCAAATGCTACAAACAAAAGATTTTATGATTAATAAATTTTAATGAATATTATTGCTGATAAATATAAAATCAATTAAATTTCATGGTGGGGAAAAGTTGATACAAAGCTTATAAAGGATGTCTAGTATTTCACCGGGAATAAACAGGTGGAGGGTTAAATCAATTTTTTAAAAGAACATAGATTACATAGAGTTGCAGCAGAAACTGCAAGGATGTCTTCACTGTTGTTGTAAGGTTTTCCTACAGAGAGGCTGGTTCCAAGCTTCATGAAAGTCTTGTGCCCTGTTATTGTTGCCATAGGTTGGGGTGATAGATTGGGATGGAACAAATACACTCTGCCAACACTTTGTATGTCATCCTTAGAGTAACTGCAGTCCTTATTGGCACATAATCTGCAAAAAAAAAAATTTTTTTGTAGAAAATCTTTTTGTATTTTTAAATTTCAAATTACAATTCTTCTCTTCTTTTCCCCATTTGTATTTTCTTTGTATTCATGTGGGGTGCACATGATTTCACAAATTAGCCAATCACATCAAAGAATTCTAACCTTGACACTGGAAAACTGACATGGATTTTTTAACAGTCAGTAGTTAACAAAAACAATCACAACATGCTGTTGGCAAGCAAGCTCAATCTTACAAAGAACCTTTCATATACAGTGTACAGGTAGATGTGCCTTTTAAAGCCTAGATGCATTCTCTTTGATCCCCAACAATGCATTCACCATGTGATGAATAACTAAAAACCTTCTCTACAATCATGAACTGTTAACTACAGTCAATAATATAGAGTTCACTCAATACTAATAAAATGTAAATGATAACTCATTGTAAAAGAAAGTAACATTTTGGCCCTGAAGTAGACACTACTTTCAGTTCTTGGGCAAGAATTATAAAAGGGGTGTTGGAAATTTTCTGAATAAACCTGACAACCACAAGTTAACCCCATATTTATGCACTATCAACTTTCTATAATTT